CACCTTGACTTCAGACATCCTTAAATTCTATAACCCGTTACCTCCTGAAAAGATACAATTGCGCTTAGGAAGTCCCCATTTCGTGGAAACTCACCAGGTGGAAGCGAACCATTTATCCGCCAGCATGTCCCGGTATGCCTGGCTTGGTGAACGCTCAATTCGCGCGCCGCTGGTAACCCGCTCGCTCTTCCTCCCCTCGATCTTGATGGAGTCGCACGGCGACGTCGCATCGTTGCATGCGACGGTCGTAGGGAGCCGGAGCTCGGGAATTGGGATGGACGGTATACACGCTGCAGGCGACCAAGGGCTGCTGTTCGGCGGCATCTTGACGCGAGGCTGTCAATAACGGGTACAGGTCGAACGCTGGTTGAATGCCCGGGAATTGAGAAAGTTCGCCGTAGTTCGCTAAAGACGAAAATGCGGGTAAAAGCTTGACGAAAACAATGCGGGCGCCCAAAGATGACGTTGACCGTCAGAGTTGCCGCTGACCGGCGGAAAGAATGAAAGAATGCAAAGGCTTGAAGACGGTTGCCGGCTTGTCGACCCGGCTAACGCATCACAAGCCAAGCTCCGTCTCGAGCATTCAGCTGACGCCGTGGTTCCGCAGTGCAGCACGAAACACGCGGTTTCTAGTATCTATTGCTTGCAACACGAAATGCGCTTCAAAAGGCTCCGCAAACGCCTCTACGACTTGTAACACGCACTCGAACGTGCCTCAGATGCCTCTGTGGGTTCAGACTGACCCTTGTAAGGGGCTCTAAGGCTTGTGGCTCGCACGTTGCGAGGAATATGGTTTGGGCGGAGGCTAGTGAAGGCTGAGAGGCGCGTGTGGTAAAGAGAGAACGGAGGAGGGGAGCAAGGAATTGATGCGGTGTGGATACGAGATGGAGGAGCGAATGGAGAGGAACGGCAATGTGATAGGAGAAGGCGAAGAGAGACGGTGAGGACTGGGTAAGGGCGCGACGTGCGCGGAGGGAATGGGTGGTTGCGACGCGATGAAACGACGTGCGCTATTTGATTATGAACGAGTACGTGCCGTGGGCGTGCGGGCTGGGAAGGACAGGTGACAGCTAAATTAAGTACACTACGAGCTGGCTCTGTTGAGGATTGGCTGATCGAGAAGGTAGCTTCTTTGAGGGTGGTTGTGGGTGCCGGAAATTATTGAGACCCGTCTCGTGACTTGCGCGGATAATGAGGGGGCGAAAGATGCGGAATTCGCACCTTGAGGTGGAGTAAGCAACGACATAGAGCGACGTGGTCTGGTTGGGAGCGGTTGGGAAGCGTGGGAAGTAGGGGGTTTGGTTTGGTGACAACACAGCTCGTTTCGGTTTCCTGGAGCTGCCTAGGCTAGTTCTTTCTGCTGCTTCGACCAAGCACTTCCGAATCAAGCTTCGTGAATGCCGAAAACAGCATGGGCGCTCCTAGCTCCCCGCGCCCGTTCCCCTGTTTTCTCCCGCAACTGGTTTTTTTTCGCAAGGTTTCACTTTTGCCAAGTTGTCGTGGCGCGGGACATGATGGCCGTGCGATAGGTTTCTTGTTATGAGAAACTGCACAGATGGACAGGATGCTGGGATTTTGCTTCGGCGGCCGGCTCGATGGATGTGAAACGCGTAGGGTGTTGCGAGAGCGCGACTTGTTCGGAACAGCCTGGCGAACGTTTCGTGACTATGCAGTTGCACGGGGTGGCGTGCTTTGCACATAGTTTCGCGAGCGTGCGACATACGAGACTTCGTCGCAAAAACAGCGGCAGGGCGGATGATGTCGCACTCCGGTTCACGACAGATGACTCTGAAGGGCGGCTCCAGACGCCCCGAAGATGTGGCCGCTAAATCATTCGGATCGAAAAAGTCAGATCGAGATGCTTCCATTCTGCCCGATGTTTTCGGTGGGCTTTCAGCGCACTGCAGAAATGTGTGCATCATCCCGTCAACGCAGTTACAGTAGCGGTTGGAATGGGCTCCAGCGATGCAAATCTATTTCTTGAGTTTCAAGGCCTAGGGTCATAACGGGACGACCGAACCCAAACCTTTCAAACTATGAAGCGACACGGCGAAATACGGGGAAGGCTTGGAACGTGGGGGAACGAAGCGCTTCGGTTTCCCGCACAAGTGCCGTGCCCAGTGAGTCAGACACTACGTGGCAGTGGCACGACCTCATCACAGTTGGAGCTTTGTCAAAAAAACATGGCCACGAGCATCCTCAATCACTGGAGAAGAAGAGAAGCTATTGGATACCTGGAATATCACCACTCAGGCTGGTTGATGTCACGTGCTGGCATCCAATGTGACTCTACACAGTTGCAGCATGTGACTTAATATAAATTTATTACTCTACTACCTACCCACATAGAAAATTTCCAAGTGTGTGTACTTCTCAACATCCAACACCTTCAGCATTTAGGGAAAATATGTCACACGTAACCATCATGGGACTCTATAACGTGAATGGTAAAATTAAAACGCGTACGGTCACTGTATCGGAATTCCTGGGGGGTTTGGTAAGTGGGGTCACAGATCCAGTCACTAACAACAGGTAAAAAATCACGCGAATGGTCACACATGTAACTCCCGCCAAAATTTCTTGAAACTCTAAAATTTTCCCGCTCGCGCGCAACCAATCAGCTAACTTCGTAAAATACTAAAACCCAATCGGAATTGGATGAAGTTTCGGGACGGATTGTGTTGGGTTGATTCATCCGAAAATGCATCCAGGTTTCTTTTGGGTGTTATCTTTTTTTGGCGGGAGTTTCATCTTTGACCATTCGCGTTATTTTTTCCCAGTTGATTGTGTCTAATTACGTGAAACGCTTTATCAAACACGTGAAAACACGCTTTGCAGTGACGGTATCCGTTTTTTTTTTAACCAAGCATATTATCGAGACCCTTGTTGATTACGAGTGGCATATTTTCCCCAGCATTTAGGGCACTTTTTTATACACTTGTATCAGCGTCCGTAACTACAAAAAGCTCGCAAAATCTGGAAAGCCGCAAGACAAACCATATCGCGTACAAATGGAAGGGAACCCTAATGTCATCCAAGCCCCACAAGCCTGCATTGCGTGGCGTGATGGTGGTTGTTGGTCATACGAGAACTCTGGGCTTGCTTGGTAATACGTTAGCGCGTCTCAGTTACCTGCTTCGCCCGCTTCTTCCCCTCGGCTTCCTTCTCGGGCTTTCGTCCTTAAAATCCAGTGACATGGACCGAGCCAAGACCCTTTTCGGTCGTTACCTTTTCGATGGCAATTCCGTTGTTCACCGGCCAATAGCCCACCACTTCCGAAGCCGAGGAGGTGAGTCATCGCACTGTCGCTTGCGCGATCTCCTGTCATCGCTTGTCGCATGCGCAATCTCCTGTCGTCGCACTGTCGCCTGCGCGATCTCCTGTTGTCGCATTCATCTTTGCTATCTTCGTCGCAGCATTAACTCGCTGTTCCTCGCTGTTTCGAGGTTTCCCAGAGTCGACGCCAGCCAATTTTGACGTTAGTCAGACGGCACGAGGCGCATCAGTCCTGCTTTGCCGGCCGCCCAATGGTTGGTTCGCGAGGCTCTTATTTTTTGTGAGACCCTCCGACAGCGAACCAAAGCACCGGCTCCATGGTTTCCCTTTCTTCCGCTTCGCCCATTTCGCGCATTTCGCTAGCAGATTCGCAAGGTCTTCGTTACAGGCTTTCCCCCAGACGCCAAGCTCACGAGACTCATTTTCAGCACTCCGGCTATGGCGCTTGCTGCTCGAGATGCGCTTCAGGTGCGAGAGAGGAGTGGAATGCCGTGGGGTGGGGTGGGGTTGGGTAGAATGCGGTGGGGTGGGTTGGGAGGGGAGATAGGGGGTGGCCGGGCTACGAGGCGTGCCAGCTCACCTTCAAGGGCGACCCGCCTTTAGGGTTTGCGATTTTCAGCACTCCTTTCATGGCGTGTGTCGCTCACGACACAGTGCAGGTGGGAAAATAAGGTGGGAGGGAGGGATGGAATGCGTTGGGGTGGGTGCGGTGGGGTGGGATGCGGTGGGGTAAGAGAAGGGCGAGGGATGCAACGACCTCCCGGCGAGCGGGCGAGGCCTGTCAACTCACCTTCAAGAGGCGACTGGCCACTGGGCTTCGCTACCTTCAGCACTCCCGCCATGCCGCTTGCCGTTAGAGACACGCTGGGGGGAAGTAGGAAAGCACGTGGGCAGGGTGGATGCAGTGGGGTGGGGGGAGGAGGGGAAAAAGTAGGTCCATGGGGGTTGGAGAGGGGTTGTGGAGCAGTGTTGCTGCTGTCGCTCATCTGCCCTTTCTGCATTTGAATGTCATTCCGTCCCTTCCTCCCTCCCCCCCCAGGCTCATATTTGACGCAGATCACAACTCTGTGTGCACTGTGCCCTTCCCCCCCCACCCCCCTAGTTTGGGATGAGCAATGTCCCGAACGCCTGTTCGGTTCGCCTCGAACATGTTCGAACATGTTCGAGGCGAACCGAACAGGCAGGCTTTTTTAACCAAATTGTTCGGGTCGAACATGTTCGGTGTTCGGCCGAACATGTTCGATGTTCGCCAATGTCTCCCGGGGCCCCCATCTCGAACACGAACACGTTCGTGTTCGAAATGTGGGCTACGCGAACACAAAAGTGTTCGCGTCGTTTGGGCTCATTCGCAGAGCTCAAACTCAAATCGTTTTTACAGCTTAAGCCTACCTCTCGCTACCGCCCTAGTCATGCTCTTGTAGAAGCTACCACACACCGGGTCTACTAATCTACTACACGCACGGACATTATAGATAGGTTTGGGATTCCGTAGGGTAGTGTGTTAAGTGTAACTCATACGTTTAGTAGCATCAACTCAAACAACGCGTTTTTACAGCGGGTTCCCTGGGTTTAGGGTTATGGCCTCCGGACATGGTGGATCCATAGGACGAGGTGCCGGCAGCTCTCGCGGGGGCGCACCCGGTTCTCCACCACGACCTATGGAGGGGCGCGTAGGCGATGGTCCTGGAGGCGCTGGCGCTTGCTTCGTGGGGGGGTTTCTTAACATGACGGTGCCGTCATCTCGGCAATCTTACCGTTTCAGCGGTTCGCGACCCCCTTCTGCAGGGCAAACGCAGCCGGAGAGTGGCAGTGAGGAGGAGGATGGGGAGGAGGGTGAGGGCGAGGAGGATGAGGACAATGAGGGAAGTGGGGATGATAGCGAGGCCGGGTGGGACCCAGAGACGCATGGCGGTGGGGACGGGGGAGATGACGATGAAGACCACGAGATGGATGGGTTGGAGCCAGAGGGGCCGGAGGAGGAGGTGGCCGAGGGTGGTGGAGAGGCGGCGACAGAGGTTGGCTCACACCATGTGCGTGAGGGGCGTGGGAGCGTGGGGGTGAAAGTGGGGAGAAAGGCCGCTACCATTAAACCCATTAGGCTGCCGAGGCGGGGGAAGAGGGCGAACAAGTTGAGGGAGCGGGCGTACCCCTGCACGTTCACAGGGGAGCCTTTGGGCGAGGGTGTGATCGCACCGGAGTTCCTAGACGAGGACGGAGGGTCAGAGAGTAGCAAGGGGACTGCCACGGGGGGCAGGACACCGGGGTGGCAAGTACAGATGTTCGGACCGAAAGACGCTGATGAGAAGCGTCAGTGCAAGATTTGCACTGACAAGATCTCGTGGAAGCAATCCACGACCACACCTGGCGAGCGGCACTTCGCGAGCCACCATACTGCGCACATGCTCGTGTGGTTCCATCGCTTCCACACCCCGTCCATTCAGTTGCCAGGCGAGACGTTTCCGCGTGGGGGCTACAAGTGTGTGCCGGATGGCAACGTCGAAGACTTGGCCTCATCTCGCGACCAAGACAGGGAAGGCAGCTGGTGGAGATAAGAAGGGGGGCAGGATCGAGCGGTTCATGACAACGAAGCTGACCTCGGTGGAGCTTCGACAGGCGATCGCCAAGCTAGTGGTCACCTGCGACCTCCCCTTCCGCATCGTGGAGGCCGAGGCTGTAAGTGCCCTGTCCGTCCCATGCCTAATGTGGGGAGGTTATGGGAAGCATGTGATAGTGTTGGTCCATTTATTGTGCACGGTTGTTATCGTGTGCCTGCATGCCTCACTCCCATCACCTAGACGTTGACAACCCTCTCCCTCCGTGTCTCTACCCCCCTCCAGTTTCGTGAGCTGCTGATCCTGCTAAATCGCAACTGCTCGCAAAAGAACTTCATCCCCTCGCGATGGACGGTCTCCCGAGACACCGTGGTCTATGCGGCCGCCCCTCTCCAGTCCGCCATTGCAGAGCTGCTGGCGAAGGAGGGGGAGCTGGGGTGCAAGGTGTCGTTTACCATCGACATATGGACCGCACCCAACAACAAAGCATGGCTAGTGGTGACCGGGCACTGGATAGACGAGTCCTTCCAGCTGCGCACCATGGTCCTTGAGTTCAGTGAGATGCTCGGGTGGCATGGGGGCAAGGAGATTGCGAGGGTGGTTGAGGAGACAGTGGTGCAGTGGAAGTTGGAGGGGCGTTGTCTTGGTTTGACGTCAGACAACGCCTCCAGCAACATTGCTGCCTTCAGGCGGCTGTCGGAGGAGGGTGGTGGTATGTGCTTCTTCAACGAGCGCATGCACTTCCGGTAAGTGTGAGCGTGTGTTTGGCCGGGCTTTGCGGGAATTGTGAAGCAAGTCGTTCGTGCAGGGCTTGTAGGGCTTGTATGGTGTGTGTGGAAACGGGGCGCAACGTGGCCCGCCATGACCATGCCTACGCACCCTTCCCCTTCTGTCCGTCTTTCATGTTGGGTTTCGCGCGCAGGTGCCTGGCACATGTGATCAACCTCGCAGTGAAGGCAGCTCTCGCAATGGCCGCCATACGCAAGGTGCTGAAAATTTTGAGGGAGATGGCGTCGTGGGTGGGCTTCTCGCCGTAGTGCTCAGGGAAGTTCCTGGGCCTACAACGAACCTTGAACGTGCAGGCCAACCCCACCAATCCGAAGCCGGCGCTGAAGCTGGTGCAGGACTCTCCAACGCGCTGGGGGTCGACCCACGACATGGTCGAGCAAGCCGGGGTTCTACAGGAACCCATCAATGTCTTCTTTGCCCAGACACAGGTGTGTGTAACAGGTGTGTGTGACAGGTGTGTGTGCTCTGGTTGCGTGTGCGGGTAGGCTGGGGTGCTGAGGCTGAGCACCCTAAACACTGGTAGTAGTCATGTTTGTTGTATGTTATGCGATGACAAGCCACCCTCACTATCTCCATGTTCACTCTTACCATTTGCCTGTCCAAACCCTCCAACCGACAGGGCTTGTCGGCGACCGACAAGAAGAAGGTCGAGAGCATGCGCCTGACTGACGCAGACTGGGCGACTCTGCATGCTGTCAAGACATTCCTCAGCCCATTCGCCAAAGTATCAAAGGCAGCGGAGGGGGCGGCGTACCCAACAGTGACGATGGTGCTGCCGTACTACAACGGCCTGATCGACGCTATGGAGGCGCGCCTCGCGAGAGGGCCATCGGCTACGTTGAAGCCGATGATCGAGGCGGCGCTGGGGATGCTGAAGAAGTATGCGTACATGTCCAGCAACGAGCTGTGGATCGCCACTTTCTTGGACCAGTCCATGAAGGCGGCGTGGTTCGATGACGAGCACTGGGAGACGCAGCATCCCGAGACCGAGCGGAGGGTGAGGCCGCGTCCCACTTCTAGCGAGGTGGTCCAGCTGGTACGCGACCGCGTCGCTGAGTACCAGGCCCGGGCTGCAGAGCTTGCTCCCCGGCCGCCCCCTCTTGCAGCCGTGACGGAGGAGGAGGAGGGGGACGAGGCGGATGACGACGAAGATGCGCAGTTTCTCCCTAGTCGCCGACGACTAGCAGCGCGTCTCTCAGCGAGCCAGGAGGCGGGGAGGGGCGGGATGTTGCAGGATGACGAGGTTAGCAGGTACCTGTCGGAGAGGGTTCGGTGTGACGTGACGGCGTTGGAGTACTGGCGGAGCGCCACCAACATGCAGACACTGAGGCGCATGGCCCGGGATTATCTCGCGATCCCTGCCACGTCCGCCTCGAGCGAGCGCGTGTTCTCCCTTGGCCGCAACCTCATTTCCTGGAAGCGGCACCGCCTGGCCTCCCAGAGAACGCGAGCTGTCATGGTTCTCCGATCCTGGTACAGCTCACACCCCGGCCAGAGGATAGGCGAGGGCCGCCGACAGAGAGGCGTCGCAGCACTGTGCCTCCCCCCCCCCCCCCCCCCCCCCCCCCTCTCGTCGTTAGCAGCACGTACGCATGCTCATGTCAATGTCAAATGACAATAGCAGCAACGACGACAGTCACTCTCCCACGACAAGTCCAGCGCGCCCATACAATGAAAACGACCTTGCCAAGGACCGGCTGAAAAAACCCTCCACCGTTCTCAACCGCAGCGGATCCTTCTATTGTCCTTTCTGTCCGGAGCCCACGTACCAGTGGTACAACTTTGACGAGATCAAGGCACACGCTTTGACTCGGGCACCAGCTTCATCTCTTCCCCTGTTCTTTCCCTCGCCTCTCCTCTCTTCCCCTCTCCTCTACTACCTTCCCCTCTCATCTCCTCTCTTCTCTTCTCCTCCCTCCCTTCCCCTCTCCTCGCCCTCTCTTCCCCTCTCCTCTCCTCTCCAGCTCGAGCGTCACTGTCCTGAGTCAGCTTAACTATTATTCTGAGTCAGAAGCGGTAGCGGGAGGAGAAGCGCGTGCAGGATGCCCGTACAACTCACCCTCTCCCTCCCTTCCCTTGTCCTCCCCTCTGTGCCATCTCTCCCCTCTCTTCCCCTCTCCTCCCCTCTCCTGATCTCCCCTCTCCTACTCTCCCCTCTCCTGCTCTCCCCTCTCCTGCTCTCCCCTCTCCTGCTTCTGCAGTGGATGTTCAAAAACAGCATGCGTTGAGCAACACAGATGGAGACCCACTTTCCAGCACAGAACTGTTAGAATCTACAGGCAGGAATGAATGAACTAGCAGCATGATGGGTACAAGTAGGAAACCCTAATCTGGGTTGTACCCCATATGGGCTACCCCACTACAGCCTACACAATAAGCAGCATATATGTTTGACACACCCCCATAGGCAAAGTGGGGGAGAACAAGGGGTCACACGACCAGTCAAGAGACGCAAAGCAAGCTCAGGGTGGATCTCAACGTCACCACACATTCTGAGCACAAGCAAAGGGCCGCAAGGCCAGTCCACATGCAGAGATATATATAAGCAACAAGAGCAGTACAGTGATCAATACCTAGCAAGAGCAAGCATGCAGGTATAAATATAGAGCACAGTACACACAAAAGACTACAGCAAGTGTGGAAATGTAGGCACAAGGCCTAACAAAGTACAAAAACGCTGATGATCACCAGACGGAAGTGCCTTGGTGAATATATCAGCAGTGTTGGCCCGAGTGGCCACGTGTGCAAGACGAAGCTGACCACGCTGCTGCAACTCTCGAGCCAGGAAGTACCGCAGAGCGATATGCTTCGTTCTGTGCTCCAGTCTGTGCTCCTCACACAAGGCAATGGCAGCCTTGTTGTCAACGTACAGCACTGGAGGAGAACGAGGCCGCTCTCCCAGGTCGGTCAGCAGGTAGGTGAGCCAGCGTAACTCCTGAGCAGCCATGGCGGTGGCGTAGATCTCAGCCTCACAACTGGAGCTGAGAACAGAAGACGAGCGAGTAGAACGCCAAGAAACAGAACCAGAGCCAAGGCTGAAAGTGTAACCCTGTGACGACCGCTGCGTAGCCTGGTCGTCAACCCAAGAAGCGTCTGAGTGCCCAGTGAGGACCACCTCTCGCCGTCCTCCAAGCACGAGCCCCATGCCCGATGTACTGCACAAGTAGCGCAGTACCCTCTTCGCAGCATCCCAGTGCACCTTTCGGTGCCGACCAGGAGCCACGTAGCGAGCCAGAAGGCCAAGAGGGTACGCAAGGTCAGGACGAGTGCAAGTCATCAGGTACATGAGGCAGCCCACTAGCTCTGGGTAAGGACCACTCGGCTCTACGGACTCATCCGAAGGCAGAGCTGAGAGCGAGTGACCTATAGCCAGAGGAGTGGCCTGTGCTGAGGACCAGGTGAAGCCGAAGCGCTGAAGGACCTGCTGCACCATGTGTGACTGAGTCAGTGTGATGGTGCGGCGTGCTCGGTCCCGGGTGATCTGCAAGCCAAGGTAGCTGCGCAGTTCACCCAGGTCTATGCACGTGTGTCTCTTCTGCAGCTCGGACTTCACCAGGGCGAGGGCCTCAGTGTCAGCAGTAGCAAAGACCAGGTCGTCGACGTACACGAGGATATAGAACGGCGGCAGAGAAGTGTCGGTGCGTAGAAACAGTGAAGGGTCAGCAGTCGAAGGCGCAAACCCAAGAGCCGCAAGGGTAGTCCTCAGTGTGTCGTGCCACTCACGAGGTGCCTGGCGGAGACCGTAGACTGGCCGGCGGAGGCTCCACTGGGTACCAGGAGGGAACGACCCAGTGAAGCCAGGTGGGCGGCGCAGCCAGATCTCCTCGTGCAGGCTGCCCTGTAGGAAAGCTGTGCTGAAGTCAAGGGAGTGAAGCTCGTAGTCACGCTGAGCGGCAACGTGCAGCAGCACCCGAAGAGTAGTCATCTTCGGGGTAGGGGAGAAGGTCTGGAAGAAGTCAACTCCCTCTCGCTGACTGAAGCCTCGAGCAACGTAACGCGCCTTGAAGACAGGCGGAGAACCTGGCGGCCGCTTCACCCTGAAAATCCACATGCCATCGACGATGTTCGCCCCGGGAGGGGGAACCTCATCGACGTAAGTGCCTGTGGACTTCCAGGATGCCATCTCTGCGTCCATGGCTGCCTGCCACTGAGAGGAGTAAGGACCCGCGATCGCCTCAGCGTAAGAGCGCGGTGTGGGGATGTCTATAGCATCCGGGTCTCCCTCAGGGGCAAGCAGCATGGCCACGAGATGAGGCGCAGCAGCCGCAAGACACGCAAGGTCCTCCTGTCTGTCCTCAAGGACGTCCGTGCACACTCACCCCCGACGGACGGAGGACAGACAGACTCAGACTCAGCAACAAGACTAGCAGCGTAGTGTAGACGACAGGCAGCAGCAAAGTCAACAAGCTCAGCGACCAGGGCAGACGCAGCAGCAGACTCAAACGATGGGTCAGTGACAACAGTGGCTAGCAGACGCGTGACAGTAGGGTGCTCAGCACGAAACCGGTCAGACTCAGGGTCCGCGACGTCAGGCAAAGAGGACGCAGGGGGAGACGGAAGAGGAGTACGCTCCGGAGTAGGGGACCGACGCAGGGCTACAAGGCGTGTGCCGGGGACAGCCGGCTGACGCGGACGAGGAACACGACGACCGGTACGACTAGGACGAACAGGCGAGACAGGACGCGACGCAGGCTCACGACGCTCAGCAAGACTACCTGTCTGCTCAGTGTAAGGAGGAGGAGCAGGCAGCGGTGAGCCAGGCTGTAACGGAAGACCAGTAGACGACGGGAGAGTAAGAACCTGACGAAGAACAGAGTCAGGCGGCGGCAGAGACGACGGAGACGGTGGAGCGAAGAACAGTCGTGGCGGCGCAGCTGCACCAGTACCAGTAGCTCCAGTACCTCCAGCAGCAGCACCCCCAGAACCAGCACCTCCAGTCCCAGGGTCTCCAGCCTCCACGTCTCCAGCAGCAGCACCCCCAGAACCAGCACCTCCAGCCCCAGCAGCTCCAGTACCTCCAGTACGAGCACCTCCGGGACCAGCGACTCCAGCACCTCCAGTAGACAAAGGACCAGTACCACGCCCAGCTCCAGGGACGTCAGCAGAAGTACCTCCAGCAGCAGAGCCCCGGGCTCCAGCAGCGCGACCCTGACGGCGACCGTACCAGTCGTGCAGCTGCTGTGAGGTGAGACTCCACGGAGACCGCACAGCAGCAGACTCAGAACCCTCAGCGCCAGCACCCGCAGTAGCTCCAAAACCTCCAGCACCAGCACCAGCTCCAGAACCTCCAGCGCCAGCACCCTCAGTAGCTCCAGAACCTCCAGTAGAAACGACTCCAGTAGTAGAGGCACCAGCGCCAGCGCCTCCCGCAGTAGGGCCCCTAGCTCCAGCAGCGCGACGCTGACGAGCAGCGTACCACTCACGCAGCTGCTGTGGGGAGAGAGGGGGTCGACGACTAGGGTGCAGCGGCGAAGCACCAGCGGAGCGACTGCGGAGACGGCCGCTCCAGGGGGACCGCTCACCAGACCCCACAGTGCCCCCAGGCGCAGCTCTCCCAGACTCAGAACCTCCAGGCTCAGCACCTCCAGACTCTGCACACCCAGGCTCCGCACCCCCAGGCTCCGCACCCCCAGGCTCCGCACCCCCAGGCCCAGCGTCCCCAGGCTCAGCACCCCCAGGCTCAGCACCCCCAGAAGCAGCACCCCAAGCAGGACCTGAGTCACCAGTGACCTCAACCGGCGGAGGCAAAGGAGGAGGGTCTACCTGAGACACACCTGAAGGAGCAGGACCGGGAGCGGGGAGGGGGTCTACCTGGGTAGCACCTGGAGCGAGGAAGAGCGGCGGGGGGGGGAGCGGGGCAGTGCGGTAGGGGAAGAGACGGTAAAAGGGAACCGACTCGTCGAACGTGACGTCCTGAGATGCAAAGACACGGCGCGAGGTGGGGTGGTAAAACTGCCAACTAGGCGCGTCAGGGACAAAGCCAAGGAAGACACAGGGGACAGCGCGGGCGGAGAGCTTGTCCGCGGTGGTATCGCGGACAAAGGCACGAGCACCCCAGACCCGGAAACGCGACGCATCGCCAACCTCCCCCGTCCACAGCAGTGTGGGCGAGGTCTCCGGCAAGGAGACACGGGGCCAGAGGTTGAGCTGATGCGCGGCGTACCGGACCGCAAACGGCCACAGAAAATGGGGGGCAGCCGCATGGACCATGGAGGTACGAGCGACCTCCATGACCAAGCCAATGCGGCGCTCAGCAACCCCATTCTGCTGCGGAGAGGCCGGAAGCGTGAACGACTGGGTGATGCCGTGCTCCGCACAGTAGGCTGCCAAGAGGTCGGAGGAAAACTCACCACCTCTGTCAGAGTGCAGACGCAGGACGGGAAACTCTGTCTTGAACCGCCGGCGGAGCTGGAGACGAGCAGCGCGGATCCAGGGGATCAAAACAGCAGGGACCTCACCCTTGGTGCGCAGGGGGAAGACCGTGGTGTAACGCGTGTAGTCGTCGACGACCAGCAGGAAGTACCGCTTGTGGTCCTATCCACGGACGCGGGCTGGGCCCCACACGTCCAGGTGGAGAGTGTGCAAGGGAGCCTTTGTGGGAGGGAACGAGGAGGAGTGAGAAGCGGCGCGCTGCCGCCCCTCGACACAGGGAAGACAGGGAGGAGCAGGCGAGGGTGGGAGGGGAGGGAGAACTCTGGGAAGACCAGAGACAAGGACACGACGGTGCATGCTGCGAAGGCGCTGCACCGAGGGGTGACCAAGGCGGTGGTGCCAAAGGAGGGTCTCGTGCGACAAGGCGCGACACAAGCAGGGGGCCGACAGCTGACCTGACGCAGACGCAGACACAGCTACCTGAGGGGACTCAGTGGTCAGGGTGTACAGGCTCGAGCCAGGCTCACGGGTGAAAGTGGCCAGGTGTCGGCCCGTCCGAGCACACGTACAGTGAGTCACCCGCTGACGCGCAGGAGTGAACTGGTCAACCCCCCAGAGAACGAGGGGAGGTAGAGACCTGACAGCAAGCCAGACGGGGCGGCTGGACACGGCAGAACCGTGGAGTAGTGGGCAAGGACTGGACCCCCAGAGGGGTCTGCCAGGGAGACTGCAACCGGCCGACTAAGCGGCGTAAGTGTGGTGCAGTCGCGAAAGAAGGAGCGGGAAGCTCCTGAGTCAAGGGTGAAGGTGTGCAGGGTCGCAGCAGGCGAAGAACCAGAGAGGGCAGACTCACCAGGACCTGGAGCAGCAGCCTCACCAGCACCTAGAGCAGGAGACGCAGTAGCACCTAGAGCAGCAGCCTCACCAGCACCTAGAGCAGGAGACGCAGTAGCACCTAGAGCAGCAGCCTCACCAGTACCTAGAGCAGCAGGCGCTATACCTGGGTCAGGCGGCACACACAGGTAACAGGCACGGTCAGCACTAGTAGGCAATGCATACATGGCAGTGAGAATAGCATCATAGTCAAGAGCAAATATATCTACTCTCTGCCTAAGTAGCTCCACCCAGTCGGGGAGCTCAGCCCCGTCGCCAAACTCGGTACGCTAGGCGTCGCTCAGACGGGTGAAGCAGCGGGACTGTGTGTGACTAGGTGTCCCGCAAGGCTGACCAGTCCGAGCACCAGTGCGAATGACGTAAGAGCAGCGAACAGAACTGAGAGACCCTCTACTCTGAGCGTACCACTCACGAAGCTGCTGGGGCGTGCGAGACTCGCGTGGACGACAGTGTAGCTGCATCTGGCCACCGCCAGTAGCAGCAGCAGCAGCAGTAGTGGCAGCAGTAGCAGCGCGGCCACCCCTACAACCCCAACTAGCGTACCACTCACGCAGCTGCTGGGGCGTGAGGGACTCACGCGGACGTCGCTGGGGCTGCATCTGGCGTCGGCCAGTAGCAGCAGGTCAGGCAGGCAGGCAGGCAGGCGGCGCGGCAGCGGCAGGGGCTCACCAGTGGCAGGAAGAGCAGGCTCTCACCGGGCGAGCAGGGCCGGTGCTCGGCGGACGGCGGCAGGGTCGGCGTACGACGGCGGCGACAGCAGGGCCGCGGCAGCGGCTACAGTGAAGGGCCGGATCGAGTCAGCGGCAGGGCAGGGCCGGGTCGTGGCAGCGGCAGGGCAGGGCCGGGTCGTGTTAGCGGCAGGGCAGGGCCGGGTCGTGTCAGCGGCAGGGTGGGGCCGTGGCGGCGGTAGGGTGGCGCGAGCCGCTGCCGGGGGCCGTGCACTGGCGGGTAGGGCGCGGCGCGGGCCGCGCGGACGGCGCGCAGCGCGCTGCGGGCCGCGGACGCGCCGCGCGGGCTTGGGGCGAGCTGCGCGGGGCAGCGGCGGGCCGCGCGCGCGTCGCGCGGGCTCGGGACGGGCTGCGCGGGGCAGCTGCGGGCCGCGCGCGCGTCGCGCGGGCTCGGGACGGGCTGCGCGGCAGGCAGCGCGACGGCGGGCAGCGCGGCAGGCAGTGAGACGGGCGGGCAACGCGGCGGGCAGCTCGGCGGGCGGGCAGCGCGGCGTGCAGCGCGACGGGCGGGCAGCGCGGCGAGCGGGCAGCGCAGCGGGCTGCGCGACTGGCGGGCGACGCGGCAGGCAGCGCGACGGTGGGCAGCGCGGCGGGCAGCGCGGCGGGCAGCGCGGCGGGCAGCGCGGCGGGCAGCGCGGCGGGCAGCGCGACGGGCGGGCAGCGCGGGCGCACGAGGGCGCTAACGAGGGGCGCACGAGGGCGCTAACTGGGGCGCGTGAAGGCGCTAACGAGGGGCGCGCGAGGGCGCAGCGAGGGCGCGCGAGGGCGCTAACGAGGGCGCGCGAGGGCGCTAACGAGGGCGCACGAGGGCGCAGCTAGGGCGCAACGAGGGCGCATCGAGGGTAGGGCGCGGGGTAGCGTGGTAACCGCATGCGTGCGACGGTGGGCCCTAAAAAAAAACAGATCGGTAGGTCCTAGGGACCTCCTGCTCTGAAACCATGTCAGAATCTACAGGCAGGAATGAATGAACTAGCAGCATGATGGGTACAAGTAGGAAACCCTAATCTGGGTTGTACCCCATATGGGCTACCCCACTACAGCCTACACAATAAGCAGCATATATGTTTGACAAGAACCGCTCCTTCCCTCCTCTCGCTCCCGTTTCTGTCTCCACCCCCGATTCCCTTCTTGACAATAGTGTGTATCAATGGTGCAGACCCGCTGGTGGCCAGGGATATGAAGGGAATCGAGGCGAATCTTCCGTGGGCGGGGTATTTTTGAGAATTCTCCAAGGTATTTTTGATCAAAAATACCTTGCGGGATATGAAGGGAATCGAGGCGGATCTTCCATGGGCGCCTCAGAGATCGAGGCGGATATTTGAGGCACCTCATAGATCGAGGCGGATTTTAGCTGGCTTTTGGGAATTCTCAGAAAGCAACTGGTGTCAACGGTGCATGCAGACCAGCTAGTGGCCACAGGGTAATGAGAGGGAATCCACAGGGTTATGAAGGGAATCTATTTGGATCTTATCTTCCATGGGCGCCTCAAAGATGGAGGCTGATTTTTTAGGCGCATCAAAGAGTGCAGACCAGCTAGTGGCCAAGGTTATGAGGGGGAATGGAGGCGAATATTCCAAGTAGCGGCAGAAATTGAGGAGTGCAATGCATGTGATAGTGAGATAGGGGATTAGTGCGAGGTATTAGAGCAACGCAGTGGAACGTAGAGGAGTAGAACTATAGAGATGGAGGGAAGAGAGGAAATTTGAGCACTGCTGGTAACAATGGTGGTAGCAGCAAGGGCAGATCCAGCCAGGGTGTGAGGGCGAGGAGAGGATGGTAGTTGAAAAAGAATCTGGTAGGAATTTAAAAATGGCACGTACAGAGATATCTTGGATGCGTGAGGGACAGGCCTCTGGATAGGATTTGAGGCGCTCTTTCTCGTAAGGCCAGTGTTCTCCTCCCACTCTTTCAGTAAGGGTGGCTAAACTTAACCACTCTTTTTTATAAGGGAGCTAATAAGAAGAACATGTTGGTAGGCAAGCTGTTTGGCCCAGTCGGTTGGAATTTACTGCAGATTGTGTGCATGAGTTAGGAATTTAGTGAGGCAAAATTTTGCGAAGCAGAGGTATTTTAGTGAGGAATTCTTCTGAACTCGGTAAGGACAAGCCCAGTACCATGAGTGTTAGTACACCGTAACACTCTGAAATATCAGCGTCATAAAACCAAACACTTTTTTTGTAAGGGTCTTAATCAAAACCACACTGAAAAAAGGGTGCAAGGGCAAACCCTGCTTTATAATCAGTGTCATAAAGGTAAATCACCCTGATATCCAGAGGCCTGGTGAGGGAGCATTGGATGGGTTGAGCAAGTATATATATATAACAATGCGCTGCATGTTAAACACTTGTAATACCGTATGTCAGCTAGCTTCCTCTCACCTTGAGACCACTTCCATCAGTTTTTTGTGGTGCACAAGTCATTGTCAGAACTCTCTTTTCTATAATTTATGGAATGTAAAACCGTTGATTTTTGTGCAATTCAACAATTACCTAGGACAAGCTATGTCAACCGTCGATTTTTTTTTACAAGCCCCGCCCAATAGTATGCCAAAAAGCGCCACGGACCACAGGGAGGAACTAGGAGGATATGCTAAGCTGCAAAATTAGGGTTACCCGTATCCGCGTACGGAGGCAACCCTAAAATCTTGTTGCTAAATCTATCAGGTCATTCAAGAAGGGTGCCATCAGCGCGTCTCGGCTTTACATTGGTTCCGCCGCTTCTTCCCTCCCTACGTGTTCCTCCTTTCCGCGCATCCGCGCTCCCGGCTTCCGTCTGTGTAGTACCATTACTCAAAACTCTCCAAGACCCTCCAATATCCGGGCGTTGTCTCGTCAATGGCGAACCCGTTGTTCACTGGTCAATGGCCTACCACTCCCGAGGGCGAGGAGGTGAGTGAGTCGTCGCGCTCTCGCGTCCCCTCCCCGATCGCCTGTCGTCGCACTCTCGCGTCCCCTCCCCGATCGCCTGTCGTCGCACTCTAGCGTCCCCTCCCCGATCGCCTGTCGTCGCACTCTAGCGTCCCCTCCCCAATCGCCTGTCGTCGCACTCTCTCCTGTCATGAGAAGACCTTTGAGTCGACTTAATACTCGTCAATGGCGAATCCGCTGTTCACTGGTCAATGGCCCATCACTCCCGAGGGCGACGAGGTGAGACCTCCTGTCGTCGCACTCTCGCCTGCCCGGTCTTTTGTCGTCGCACTCGTTTTCGCGATCTACCTTTGTCGCAGCGTTAACTCGCTGCACGTCGAGGCTGACGTCAGTCTGACGGCACAATCCGCATCAGTCCCTTCCCCCCCCCCCCAACGCATCTTGTACGCCCATCCGTCTCTCGCGCCGTAATAGCTCTATGACGTTTTAAAAATGATTTGGACAACCTCCCTGTCTACGTCCCCATTTCTCCTGAACCGCGTCGTTCATTTTTCCGTGAAACTAGCCTCTCCTTTCTTCCGGAAACGCCCTTCTTGTGTTCTAAAGCGCTGCTATCCGCTTTCTTCGAAACCAAAGTGATTTCGTTTACGCCTCCTCCCCCTTCCCCTCCCCCCTCCTCTCGCGCGCCATATTTTTCTTCCCCCCGTCCACTTCTCTCATTTCGCCAAGCAGATTCGCACGATTTTTGTAACCGGGTTCCCCCCAGACGCCAAGGAAGGTGCAGAACATGCTGCGCTGGTGGCCGGGCTACGAGGCCTGCCAGCTCACCCCGCCCCCTTCCCCCCTCCCTCCCTCCCTTTCGCGGAAATTTTGTAACATTTCGCCAAACAGATTCGCACAATATTTGTAACCGGGTTCCCCCCAGACGCCAAGGAGCGCGAGGTGCAGAACATGCTGCGCTGGTGGCCGGGCTACGAGGCCTGCCAGCTCACCTTCAAAGGCGACCAGCCGTTGGGATTTGCCATCTTTAGCACCCCCGCCATGGCGTTTGCTGCTAAAGACGCGCTGCAGGTGGGAGAGAGGGGTGGAATGCGGTGGGGTGGGATGCGGTAGTCGGGGAGAAGTAGGTAGGTGCAATGGGTGGCCGGGCTACGGGGCCTGCCAGTTCACCTAACTGCGATCAGCCTTTAGGTTTGCGATTCTAAGCACCCGTGCCATGGCATGTGCCACTAGAGATGCGCTGCAGGTGCGTAGAGGAGTGGAATGCGGTGGGATGGGATGGATGGGAGACCAGGCTACGAGGCCTGCCAGCTCACCTTCAAAGGCGACCAGCCGTTAGGGTTTGCGATTTTCAGCTCTCCCACCTTGACGTTCTTGAGTCGACACAAAAATAAGATTTTCAGCTCTCCCACCTTGCCGTTCGCTGCTAGAGACGCGCTGCAGGTGGGCAGTTTTTGGAGCTGCTACTGCTGCTGCTGCTACTGCTGCTGCTGCTACTGCTGCTGCTGCTTCTGCTGCTGCTGCTGCTGCTGCTGCTGCTGCTGCTGCTGCTGCTGCTGCTGCTGCTGCTGCTGCTGCTGCTGCTGCTGCTGCTGCTGCTGCTGCTGCTGCTGCTGCTGCCTCATTGCCCCTGCATGTTTCTGTGTGTACTCACCCCGCCTCTTCAACCTCCCCAGGGTCTCATATTCGACGCGGACCACAACTCAGTGCTGCGAGTGGAGCTGGCCAAGACCAACCTGCACAGACGGAAAGGTATGTTTCAAAAAAAGGTGAGAGGAGAGGCGCTTGCTAGTGCTGGCAAGAGAGAAGGAGAGGCGCTTGCTAGTGCTGGCATTGGCGTGGACGAGGTTCGGCACTTGAGGGTGGAGTGGAGTGGAGCTGACGAAAACCAACCTGTACAGAAGGAAAGGTGCACTGTCATAATCTGTCAAGATGCATTTATGCGTTTGTAATCTGCAAGAGTGAAATATTTGCTTGTACTGGCTTGAACGATTGTATGCGCAATGCATGAACGAATTGTGACTGAACTTGGTGTGTTGCGATAGGGGCGGAAAAGTGCTCTCACTTTTCCTTCCCTGCAAGAACCAACCTGCAGAGAAGAGAAAGTGCAGGCGGAAGGGCGAGAGGATGGCTGGGTTGAGGGTGGTAGAGAGAGGTAAGAGTTGAGAGGGTGCGAGGGTAAGAGTTGAGAGGGTGCGAGGGTAAGAGTTGAGAGGGTGCGAGGGTAAGAGTTGAGAGGGTGCGAGAAAAAGACTTGAGAATCAAGAGAGTGAGGGCGAAAGGCTTCATCAGGTACAGGTGGGTGGCTTTTGAGAATTCTCAAAAGGCTTCATCAGGTACCCTGACAAGGAAAATTACATCCCTCACTCGCTGCTCCTTCTCCTTTCTCCTGTTCTTCACTCTTCACTCTATGCAGGTCTACCCGGGGGAGGTGACGGCTATGATCACTCCAAGCGATCCAGGGTCGATCCCATGGTGGCTTTTATGCCTGGCGCTGCAGCTGCTATGGGCAGGTGAGAGGGGGAGGAGAGGGGTGAGGAGGGGATATGGGTGGGTAAAAAGGGGTTAGAAGAAGGAGAAGGGCAGGAGGGTTTCATCCCATGGCGGTCTTTATGCCCCACTTTGCTGCAGCTGTTATGGGCAGGTGAGAGGGGGAGGAGAGGGGTGAGGAGGGGATATGGGTGGGTATTAAGGGGTTAGAAGAAGGAGAAGGGCAGGAGGGTTTCATCTCATGGCGGTCTTTATGCCCCACTTTGCTGCAGCTGCTATGGGCAGGTGAGGGTGGGAGGGAGGGAAGGGATGCGGCGGGAAGGGAGAAATGGGTAGATAAGAAGAAGGATTGATCCCATGGGGCATGCTTGCCCGGCTCTGCTGCTGCTGTGGGTGAATGGTGGGGAGGGGAACAGGGTTGTAGGGCATGGGTGCTGCAATCACTCCAATGGCCGCACTGCTGCTGCTATGGGCGGGTGAGGTGGACAGTGGGAAGTGGGGGGGCGGAGGGGAGTAGGGGCATGCGATGCGATGGAGGGGTAGGGGAAGAATGAGAACTGGTGACCTTCCTGCTTTTTTCTCTCTGTTTGCCCTGCCCCTGCCCTGGCCCTGCCTCTGTTTTCCCTGTCCCTGCCCCTGCCCCTACCCCTGCCCTCTAGCAGTTCTACCCCTGCCCTCTAGCAGTTCTACCCCTGCCCTCGAGCACTTGTACCCCTGCCCTCTCTGCTGCCTCCCCAGCTGCTGCTTCTTCCAAACCTTTTTCACTCTGTTTTGACTTTTGAGTCGACTCAAAAGCTGCCTCCCCTGCTGCTGCTGCTTCTTCCAAACCTTGTTCACTCTGTTTTCGTGCCTTCTCTCTTCTCTTCGCCTTGTCCTAACTTTAGAGTCGACTCAAAAGTCAGCTCCCTGCTGCCTCCCCTGCTCTTTCAAGTCTACCTCTTGCCTTGAAAGAGGGCATCAGTGCTATTGTTCACTCTGTTTTCATGCCTTCTCTCTTCTCTTTGCCTTTTCCTAACTCCCAGCCTAGCCTTTTAAAGCGCCTCAAAGTAAACTCCCAGACCCCCCCTCCCCTGTACCTCTTTCCCTGAATAATTTCTCCCCTCTCATCCCCTTCATTCATCCCAGCTTCATGCCAGCAGCATATGACGCCTATGCGTCCTCCTTCACACCCCTCCCTGCTGCCTCCCCTGCTGCCTCTACTCTCTCCCAAGCAATGACGATCTGGCTCTCATGCCTTCCCCTCGTCTCTCCCTCCCCCGCCCGTACCCCCCATTCCTCATCCCAGCTTCATAGCTGCAGCATGTGCGTCCTCCTTCACACCCCTCGCTGATCATCGTACTCTCTCTCTTCTCTCCCTTCCCCCCTCCCCCTCCCTCCCACCTCCCTGCTTGCAGCTTCATGCCAGCAGCATATGACGCCTATGCGTCCTCCTTCACACCCCTCCCTGCCGCCCCTGCCCCCGCTGCTGCGCCCAAGACGTACACCCCGCTCCCTGCTCCGCCCCCTGGCATGCCCGGAAAGGTAAGAGGGTTCAGAAAGGCGCTGTATGGTTCTTACTTACCGAAAGGGTTCTCTGTTGTTCGTCCTGCTGCCTCGACCCGTACTCTTCCCTCCCTGCTCCGCCCCCTGGCATGCCCGGAAAGGTAAGAGGTTTTAGGAAGGCGCTGTTTGGTTTTCACTTACCCAAAGGGTTTTCTGTTGTTCCGCTCACGCCCCTCCTGCTGCCACGACTGCTCCAAATGCGTGCACTTTCCTCCCTGCTCCGCTCACAGGCATGCCTGGAAAGGTAGGATTAAGGGGTGGGTTCATCACGAGGGCTAGAGTCATTACAACGAGATGTGAGGTGAGGTGAGGCAAGGCGTGGTGAGGTGCGATAGTATTGCTTTGTTGTTATTAATCTACCTACCCTTTACTCCTCTCCCCCTCCCCCCCACTCCCAACCTATTAGATATACCGGGTCAAACCCCCCTTTATTGCAACACTTCCTATTCATTTTCCAGGCTGCCCGAAAAAAAATTACCCCATGCGTCTAGCGTCTTCGGGTGCGTCCTGCGTCTAGTGTCTAGACGCTAGACGCAGGACGGTCCTGGCGTCTTTTGCAACTAAGGGTGCAATAGTTCCGCTCTCTAGCATCGCTGTGTTGCTATTGATTTGCCCCTTCCTTCTCTCCCTCTCCCTCTCCCCCCCCACGCCCTCCTAATTAGATGTACCGGGCCGGGACAACCTTCTTTATTGCAACAATTTCTACCTGGGCAACCTGAGGCCTGCGAGTGAGGCACTTACCATGCCTTATACCTCATTATACCGCACTCTACCCCTTGCCGCTCAGATACACCGTGACAACCCCCCCTGCAACACGCTCTATCTCGGCAACCTGGGGCTGGGAGTGAGGGGGGTCTTACCATGACACGACTACAGTGCATTAACACCGCATTATACTGCACCACGCCGCCCTCCTCCATCAGATATACCGCGACAACCCCCCCTGCAACACGCTCTATCTCGGCAACCTGGGGCTGGGAGTGAGGGGGGTCTTACCATGACACGACTACAGTGCATTAACACCGCATTATACCGCACCACGCCGCCCTCCTCCATCAGATATACCGCGACAACCCCCCCTGCAACACGCTCTATCTCGGCAACCTGGGGCTGGGAGTGAGGGGGGTCTTACCATGACACGACTACAGTGCATTAACACCGCATTATACCGCACCACGCCGCCCTCCTCCATCAGATATACCGCGACAACCCCCCCTGCAACACGCTCTATCTCGGCAACCTGGGGCTGGGAGTGAGCGACGCCGAGCTGTTGCAGATTTTCAGCGTGTGAGTGCTTAGGTTGTGTGTGTGTGTGTGTGTGTGTGTGTGTGTGTGTGTGTGTGTGTGTGTGTGTGTGTGCGTGCGTGCGTGCGTGCGTGCGTGCGTGCGTGTGTGTGTGACTCCCCGCTTCGCTTTGCCTTTTTTTTTTCTTCCCTTCTTCTTCCCGTTTGTGTTAACCTTTGTATATAGCCATGGTCCTTTTAGTTCAATCTGCAACTACCAACCAGCTTTTTGAATTCACATACCTTCTCACTAGTGTCACATACCTTCTCACTCACAAGTGTACGTTCTTCTTATCCTAGTATGGTTACCAAGTTCACTCCGTTATTATAAGTCGCGTTAATGGTACCGTGGCAGCTTGGCCTTACAAGACACTGGCAAGTAGTTCTAGTGTGATGGAGTGTTATTATAAGTCGCGTTAATGGTACCGTGGCAGCTTGGCCTTACAAGACACTGGCAAGTAGTTCTAGTGTGATGGAGTGTGACCACTGCATTCATTCACGTCGTTACTGATCCCGCTTTGTGTTACCCTTTTTAGCCATGGTTATAGCCAGCCACAGCCTTACAAGACACTGACAAGTAGTTCAAGTGCGATGGAGTGTGACCACCGCCTTTTTTACTGAGACGCCTCAAAATTCAACTTATTTTTTTTTAGGCGCTCCAACAATCAAGACACTGTCAAAGTATTTCTAGTGTGATGGAGTGTGATGTGACCACCGTACATCGTTATTGATCTCGCTTTGTGTTATCATTTCTTGGGGCGTTCCGAAAATCAAGACACTGGCAAGTAGTTCTTCTAGTGTGATGGAGTGCATGCAATGCAACCAACCATCGCCTCCATTCGTTCTGCTTCGTTGTTTCCCGGTTCTCTCTCCCCCTGGCCTCTTGTCCTCGTTACAGGCAGCCTGGTTATGTGCAGCTGAAGCTGCATCGCCAGGGAGCGAGCACCTGCTGCTTCGTGCAGTTCGTTGTGAGTCTATCACGCAAATCCTCCTTCGCATGTGATGAGATGATTTTTCTGTCGACTAAAAATTTGTCTGCTTCGTGCAGTTTGTTGTGAGTCGATCACGCCAATCCTCCTCCTCCGGGGTAGTGTACTAAATCAAAGTTATTCTATTTGAATTCTCCAGATTTTTGGATTTATATATTAATTCTATCATGTTGTTCAGGTATTTGCTGGAATTTGTTTTTTTTTGGGAATTGACCCTAAATATCGAGCCGCTTCTCACATTATGTTCTTTCTCAGCCGCCTCTCCCCTCTCCCCTCTCCCCTCTCCCCTCTCCCCTCTCCCCCACCGCCCCCTTTCTTCTTCACCACATTGAGGCAGCATCAGCAGCGCACACAGCGCTGGAGAAGATTTCCTCTCGCCTCCTCTTCCCCTCACTTACCCCAGTTTTGAGGCGCCTCAAAACTTACCCCACTCACTCCTACCCTGTCTTTTGCCACCACCCCCTTCCCCTCTCTTCCCCCTCTCCCTTTATCAGGACGTGGAGACAGCAACAGCAGCGCACACGGCGCTACAGGGAATCAGTCTCGTCTCTTCGGACAGAGGGCCTGTGCGCGTGCAATATCCTCCTCACCTTACCACCACTCCCAGCTCCCCAAGCCCTCCTGCCCTTCTACCCTTCTGCTCACCTCAGTGCTCCCCCCCACTGTCTTAACACCCTCGCGCCCTCCTTTCACCTGAACGTGCCTCTCTGCCCGGCCCTTGCACCCCGTGTTGCGAGGGTGTTTTTGAGACGTCTCAAAAACACCCTCGCTACACAAGCCCTCCGGCCCTTATCGCACCTCAGTGCTCCCTCCCTCCCACTGCCTTTACTCCCTCGCGCCCTCCTTTCACCTTAACGTGCCTCTCTGCCCGGCCCTTGCACACCCTACGTTGCTTTTCCCCCATTTATCTCTCCCCCCTTCTCCCTTCCGCCCTCTATCCCCCCCATCTCCTTTCCTCTCATCCCACCCAAGAGCACACAATACCCGCCACCCTCCCCTGCTGCTCCTCCTTTCCTTCCTTCTGACTCACATTTTCTCCTCTCCCTCTATAACCCTTGCTGCTTACTCACTGTGCTTATCCTCCCTCTCCCTCATCGTATTTTGTTTGTCCTTCCTTCTTTTGTCTGAGCCTTGTTGCTTACTCACTCACTGTATTTGCCAAGTGAACAAGTCGCTTATCCTCCTCTCCTTCATCATATTTTGTCGGTCCTTCCTTCTTTTGAAGTTGATAACTCAGCTTTCCTTGACTCCTCTCCCCCTTCTTTCTCCATCTCCTCGCTCTCCCTCTCTCCCCCCTTCTCGGCCTCTCTCTCCCTCTCTCTCCCCTTCTCGGCCTCTCTCTCCCTCGTTCTCAATCTCCTCTTCCCTCGCTCTCTCCGCCTTCTCCCTCCCTCTATATCCTTCCCCATCCTTATCTCTGTGTCTCTCCATTGCCTCCTCTCTCTCGCCTCCTCCCTCTCCCTCTATATTCCGCCCCATCCTCATCTCTGCGTCTCTCTTTCTCCCCCATTCCCTCCTAGCACATTCTCTCGCACTCCTCTTGGCCAGAAGGGGCACAGGGCAATGGAGAGGGAAGGGAGGGACCCAGCAGGGGCAGTAGGGGCACCAGGGGCAGGGGCAGGGGTAGAGCCGCCACCAGCAGGCACGAAGGAGGAGCAGTAGGCGTGTAGAGGAGTGCAGGGGTCTTCTGTGCGGTACAGAAGGGGCACTGGGCGATGGAGAGGGAAGGGAGGGATGCAACAGGGCCACCAGGGGCAGCAGGGGCAGCAGGGTCCGTAGCGGCAGCAGAGGCCACAGGGACAGGAATAGAGCCGCCTCCAGCTGGCACGAGGGGGGATAGAACAGTAGACGCGTAGAGGATTGCAGAGGTCTTCAGTGTTGTGCAATGGAAGGGAAAGGGAGGGACTTCACAGGAGCAGCAGGGACAGGGGTAGAGCCGCCACCAGCAGACATTGATGGGGGGACAGTGGATGTGTAGAGGGGGCAAGGAGCGCAAAGGGTGCTCAGTGTGGTGCAGAAGGAGCACAGAAGGGGCAGCAGCAGGAGCATCATCTAAAGCAGCAGGAGCGGCATTTGAGCCGCTGCGAGCTGGCACAGAAACGTGACCCGTTGACTTCACATCGGTAAAGTAGCCCTCCTGTTGCCAAGCTTTGCCTGTCTTTGGTTTCTTGGCTTTCTTGACTTTCTTGACTTGCGTTGCACAAGTCATTAGGCTCTCTTAGCATGCACCAGCCAACCAGCAGAGCCGGTTTTGGCTTGCAAAACGACGTAACAAGCACGTGGAACAGCCTGTATGTGGGTGAGGAGAGGATAGTGGTCTTTTGCACAGCGTGCACGCACGTTTTGATCAATGATGCGCAGCGTGCACGTTTTGATCAAGGATGTGTTTTGCACGTGGAATGTGTGTGTGAGTCACGCAGCTAGTGTGTCTGGCGCTTTTGAGATAAAATGCTGTGATGCACCAACAACACCACCAACTCCACTAACACCAGTGCCACCAGCACAGGGAGCACCAGCAGTAGCAGCAATAGCAGCACTGGCAACACCAGCTCTGGCAGCAGTGGCAGCGCTAGTGGCACTGGCACCAGTGCGAACACTCAACTTTAGGAGCACCAGCACAGAGAGTACAAGCAATGATCGCAACACAAACAGCAGCACGAGCACGAGTCATGATGCTACTGGTGGAAACACCAGCACTGGGAGCAGCAACAGTTGCACAAACACCAACACCAGCAGCACTACCACCACCAGCGCCACCAGCTGCAGCAGCAGCAGCACCTGTACGAGCGTCAGTGGAAAATGCAGCGAGAAAAGCAAGACGCACCACTGTCTTTGAGATGAGAACCACCACCGTCAGTGGCACCAGACCCGGCACACACAGCAACACCACCAGCACCACCAGCACCTGCGCTAGCAGCACAAGCAGTGCGAAAGCAAGCAGCACAACCACCAGCACAGTGCATTCAGCAGCAACAACACCAGCACCAGCGGCACAGGAATAAGCGGCAGCACTTCCACCAGCACCAGCGCCGTCACCACCAGCAGCACCACCAGAAGCACCACCACCCACCAACACCACCACCACCACCAGCAGCACCCACCAACACCACCACCACCACCAGCAGCACCAGCGCCGGCGCCAGCACCACTATTGATACAACACCACAACACTACACCAGCACCAAACCCCACGGCATACCAAGACCAGCACCACCTGATCACCTCTCTAACCATCTCAGCAGCAACCTCAAACTCCCTTTGGATCAAATCCCCTGCGCCTGTCTGTCTTCTGTGCGTCTTGTATCTCTTGAGAGAACCGTAAAAGCACCCCACTGCACCAACACAAGCACCAGCTGCCTGCTATACTAGCTATGTCAGCAGCAGCCTCTACGCACCCTTGCCCACGCACTAACCAGAATCAGCGGCACGTGCGACATCCACCACCAGCACCAGCACCAGCACCAGCACCACCAGCAGCAGCAGCAGCAGCAGCAGTGGCAGCACCGTCACTGGCACCAACATGAGCACCAGCTGCCCGCCACACTAACCGTGTCAGCAGCAGCCTCAATGCACCCTTGCGTGCCCAAGCACTACTCACATCAGCAGCATGTGCCAGCACCACCACTATCACGACCACCAGCAGCACCAGCAGCGCCGCATCACCCACTGTGGCACCAGCAGCACTGGCACCAACACCAGCACCAGTTGCCTGCCACACCAGCACCAGTTGCCTGCCACACCAGCACCAGTTGCCTGCCACACCAGCACCAGTTGCCTGCCACACCACACTAGCCAAGTCAGTAGCAGCCCCAACCCAACACGCACTTGCCCAACCATTGGCCAAGTCAGCGGCATGTGCTATGGTGCTAGCATGACCAGCGTCACAACCACAAGCTCCACTGGCTGGCACCAGTACTGGCACCACGACCACCACCATCACCACAACCACTTACAGCACCACCACCGCACGCCAGCACTGGCACCAGCACTAGCACCATCCGCCTGCAGCACTAGCAGTGTCACCAGCAGCCGACTGGCCATTTTCACAACCAACAACGCCACTGGCACCAGCACCAACACCAGCACCAGCTACCCGCCACACTTGCTGCCTGCAGCACTAGCCGTTTCACCAGCAGCGTTGACGCACCCTTGCCTCTCCATTCCCTAGCACCTGTTCTTTGTGATTCTTTCCCTTCCTTCCCTCTTCCCCTTGAACGTTCCATACAGCCGCTCGTTGAGGTTTATACATGGCTTCAAGCCTTCAGGTTGATGCTGGTGGTGCATGCTTTATGGAAGGCAGAAACTGTTTGAGAGTTAAATGCAGGATTTCCCTACATGGGCAGCATGCGGTAAAGTGTACCTGCCACAATGCCACACTACAGGCAGTACGAGAAGGTGGAATCAATAATGAATTTTGGTAATGCCCCACATGGGATTTGCTATTATAATAATATTGTTTATTACTATTCCCTATTTTTACTTGAGAAACTAAGCGCTGCGGAATAAAATTCCACTTTAGCCTCCTCGTTGATGGGTGTTGCTGTTCTTTAACTTAGCTATGTTGTATGTCCAAACCAAACCGCGAGTGCTTTTGTCGGGTCGATCTCTAGCATCCTCCCAAACCCATCTTAGCCAAAACCCAACACCCGAAACCTGAAGGCTTTTTGGCTTTTCTGCTGAGGAAATCTTCTTTTCCTACATATCGCGGCAGCAGGCGCAGTGTGGCAGGTCGCGCATTGATCACCCACAGCAGAAGTTTCATTGTGAACACTCATAGGTCGCTGATACGAATTAGTCAAGCGAGACAAGCCAGTCGAGCAGTCCAGCGAGTCAAGTGAGTCAACGCAGCCAAGCCAGTCAACGCAAGTCAAATCTCGGCGCGCCAGTATGGCGCGTCCCGACGCCATGCAGCCCAGATCCCCCGGTGGCGGCTTCCGCGGCGGCTCCCGCGGAAGGGGCGGCTTCCGCGGGGGTTCCCGAGGAAGGGGCAGATCGAGCTCGCCTGGTGGCGGCGGTCGCGGCGGCGGGGGAAGAGGCGGGGGAAGTGGTGGGGGAAGAGGACTCAGTAGGGGCGGGGGAAGGGGTTTCGGGGGGAGAGGCGGGGGTCGGGGTTTTGGCGGAAGAGGCGGCGGACGGGGCGGCGGAAGGGGAAGGGGGAGATGGAGCGGCGGAGGGGAAGGGGAGGATACGGCGGCCGCGGTGGCGGATTTGGCGGCGGGAAAGGCGGCGGAAAAGGCGGAGGGCTAGACAGTGACGAGGACGAGGCGACGCCGGTGGATGCGGGATACGAGGTGGCGGAGGAGCTTCCGGAGGAAGCCTCCGCGAAGAACCGGCGGTACGATGACGTGGACGTGTACGAGTACGAGCTTCCCGCGGACTTCGAGGTGAGCGAAACGATTGGCGAAAATAGGGTAACCGTAGAAGTACTTTCGCTGTGCTTTCGCAGTTTTTTGGCTGTACTTGTGGAGCTGGTAGGCGGTATCTATTGAACAGGAGAAGAAGTTCGTCTCGTATCTATTGGGGAGGGATCGGTTTTTCACCCGCCTGTTCCCCTCGTCCCCTCCCACTTCTCCTTTCCCTCCTTTCCCATCAGGACGAAGAAATAGACGAGGACGAGGCTTTTACGGAAGAAGAGAAGAAGATGGGCATGGGGCGAGGGGTGGGGGATGAAGAGATAGTTTCTGACATTTCCCCAATTTCCCTATTCTTCTCCCCTCGTCGTCTCTCCCCCCTCCTTCCTCCTTTCCCGTCAGGACGAGGAGATTGATGAGGACGAGGCTTTTACGGAAGAAGAGAAGAAGATGGGCATGGGGCGAGGGGTGGGGGGGGAGGGGGGAGGAGGATGAGGAGGAGGATGAGGAGGAGGAGGAGGAAGAGGGAGGGGGTATGTTAGATAGTGATGAGGAGGATGAGGAGGAAGATGAAGAGGAGGAGGAGGAGGAGGATGAGGAGGAGGAGGAAGAGGAGGTAGAGGAGGGAGAGGAGGGAGATTTGGAAATGGGGAAGAAGAAACTTGGAAAAGTGAGGGGTCACAGAAAGCAGGAGGACGCGGAAGGGGAGATTGAGGAGGATGAGGAGGATGAGGAAGGGGAAGAAGAGGAGGGAGAGGAGGGAGAGGAGGGAGAGGAGGGAGAGGAGGAGAGTGAGGAAGAGGAGGACGATGAGGACGAGGAGAAGCATCAGCAGCTGTTGGCTGATGTGGTGGCGAGGCATCAGAGCAGGGAAGGTGAGGGCCAGGGAGAATGGAGGTTCAAGGTTCAGGTTCTGGGTTTAGAGTTTTCACACGTAGCAGGTGCAAAGGGCAAAAAGACCCTCTCCTCTCACTCTCCTCTCACTCTCTTCTCACTCTCTTTTCACTCTCTTCTCACTCTCTTCTCACTCTCTTCTCACTCTCTTCTCACTCTCTTCCTCAAGGCATCAGCAGTGGCCGCGGAGAGTCTTCCCGAGTCGGAGTTCAACCTCACAGCAGCCAAGGGCGCAGCTCAATCCTTGTCTCGCCCCTCTCTACTCACTCTCTTGCCCCTGTCATCTCCCCTTCCCCCTTTTCTCCTCCTTGCTGTCACAGCCAGGAAGCCTCGGGGTGCGATATCATTGAAGGCATCAGCAGTGGTGGGGGAGAGTCTACCCGAGTCGGAGTTCAACCTCACAGCAGCCAAGGGCGCGCGCAGCTCAATGCTCTTAGTGCCCTTCCTGTTGTCTCTTCCCCTCGTCTCCCTTCCTCTCTCATGTCTCACAGCCAGGAAGCCTCGAGGTGCGGTAGCATTGAAGGCATCAGCAGTGGTGGGGGAGAGTCTACCCGAGTCGGAGTTCAACCTCACAGCTGCTAAGGGCGCGCGCAGCTCAATGCTCTTAGTGCCCTTCCTGTTGTCTCTTCCCCTCGTCTCCCTTCCTCTCTCATGTCTCACAGCCAGGAAGCCTCGAGGTGCTATAGCATTGAAGGCATCAGCAGTGGTGGGGGAGAGTCTACCCGAGTCAGAGTTCAACCTCACAGCAGCCAAGGGCGCAGCACTGGCAGCAGCAGCCGACGCAGCAGCAGCTGCAGCAGCAGGAGCGGCATGTGGGGCGGCAGGAGCAGCGGCAGCTTTCCCTACCACTGCAGCAGGTTCGGGAGCAGGCTCGGGAGGGCTGTCTGTAGAGGATTTGCTTCGGCCGCTGGGGCAGGTCGGGGCTGATCTGTCAGGCCTGGCGAAAGGCTCGGCGGAAGGCTCGGCGGCGGCAGGTTTGGGAGTGGGAGGTTCGGCGCTGGCCGGGCTGAAGAAGCAGATGAGGAGAATCGAGGCGAGTTGCGCTCCTGACACTGGCCCTTTGCCGACAGTTATTCGGGAGAGAGTGGAAAGAAAGTGAGTGATTTGGGGTTGGGGCTGGGTTGGAGTTGAGACGAGTTGCGCTCCTGACACTGGCCCTTTGCCGACAGTTATTCGGGAGAGACTGGAAAGAAAGTGAGTGATTTGGGGTTGGGGCTGGGTTGGAGTTGAGACGAGTTGCGCTTCTGACACTGGCCCTTTGCCGACAGTTATTCGGGAGAGACTGGAAAGAAAGTGAGTGATTTGGGGTTGGGGCTGGGTTGGAGTTGAGGCGAGTTGCGCTCCTGACACTGGCCCTTTGCCGACAGTTATTCGGGAGAGACTGGAAAGAAAGTGAGTGATTTGGGGTTGGGGCTGGGTTGGAGTTGAGGCGAGTTGCGCTCCTGACACTGGCCCTTTGCCGACAGTTATTCGGGAGAGACTGGAAAGAAAGTGAGTGATTTGGGGTTGGGGCTGGGTTGGAGTTGAGGCGAGTTGCGCTCCTGACACTGGCCCTTTGCCGACAGTTATTCGGGAGAGACTGGAAAGAAAGTGAGTGATTTGGGGTTGGGGCTGGGTTGGAGTTGAGACGAGTTGCGCTCCTGACACTGGCCCTTTGCCGACAGTTATTCGGGAGAGACTGGAAAGAAAGTGAGTGATTTGGGGTTGGGGCTGGGTTGGAGTTGAGACGAGTTGCGCTCCTGACACTGGCCCTTTGCCGACAGTTATTCGGGAGAGACTGGAAAGAAAGTGAGTGATTTGGGGTTGGGGCTGGGTTGGAGTTGAGGCGAGTTGCGCTCCTGACACTGGCCCTTTGCCGACAGTTATTCGGGAGAGACTGGAAAGAAAGTGAGTGATTTGGGGTTGGGGCTGGGTTGGAGTTGAGGCGAGTTGCGCTCCTGACACTGGCCCTTTGCCGACAGTTATTCGGGAGAGACTGGAAAGAAAGTGAGTGATTTGGGGTTGGGGCTGGGTTGGAGTTGAGGCGAGTTGCGCTCCTGACACTGGCCCTTTGCCGACAGTTATTCGGGAGAGACTGGAAAGAAAGTGAGTGATTTGGGGTTGGGGCTGGGTTGGAGTTGAGGCGAGTTGCGCTCCTGACACTGGCCCTTTGCCGACAGTTATTCGGGAGAGACTGAAAAGAAAGTGAGTGATTTGGGGTTGGGGCTGGGTTGGAGTTGAGGCGAGTTGCGCTCCTGACACTGGCCCTTTGCCGACAGTTATTCGGGAGAGACTGGAAAGAAAGTGAGTGATTTGGGGTTGGGGCTGGGTTGGAGTTGAGGCGAGTTGCGCTCCTGACACTGGCCCTTTGCCGACAGTTATTCGGGAGAGACTGGAAAGAAAGTGAGTGATTTGGGGTTGGGGCTGGGTTGGAGTTGAGACGAGTTGCGCTCCTGACACTGGCCCTTTGCCGACAGTTATTCGGGAGAGACTGGAAAGAAAGTGAGTGATTTGGGGTTGGGGCTGGGTTGGAGTTGAGACGAGTTGCGCTCCTGACACTGGCCCTTTGCCGACAGTTATTCGGGAGAGACTGGAAAGAAAGTGAGTGATTTGGGGTTGGGGCTGGGTTGGAGTTGAGACGAGTTGCGCTCCTGACACTGGCCCTTTGCCGACAGTTATTCGGGAGAGACTGGAAAGAAAGTGAGTGATTTGGGGTTGGGGCTGGGTTGGAGTTGAGACGAGTTGCGCTCCTGACACTGGCCCTTTGCCGACAGTTATTCGGGAGAGACTGGAAAGAAAGTGAGTGATTTGGGGTTGGGGCTGGGTTGGAGTTGAGACGAGTTGCGCTCCTGACACTGGCCCTTTGCCGACAGTTATTCGGGAGAGACTGGAAAGAAAGTGAGTGATTTGGGGTTGGGGCTGGGTTGGAGTTGAGACGAGTTGCGCTCCTGACACTGGCCCTTTGCCGACAGTTATTCGGGAGAGACTGGAAAGAAAGTGAGTGATTTGGGGTTGGGGCTGGGTTGGAGTTGAGACGAGTTGCGCTCCTGACACTGGCCCTTTGCCGACAGTTATTCGGGAGAGAGTGGAAAGAAAGTGAGTGATTTGGGGTTGGGGCTGGGTTGGAGTTGAGACGAGTTGCGCTCCTGACACTGGCCCTTTGCCGACAGTTATTCGGGAAAGACTGGAAAGAAAGTGAGTGATTTGGGGTTGGGGCTGGGTTGGAGTTGAGACGAGTTGCGCTCCTGACACTGGCCCTTTGCCGACAGTTATTCGGGAGAGACTGGAAAGAAAGTGAGTGATTTGGGGTTGGGGCTGGGTTGGAGTTGAGACGAGTTGCGCTCCTGACACTGGCCCTTTGCCGACAGTTATTCGGGAGAGACTGGAAAGAAAGTGAGTGATTTGGGGTTGGGGCTGGGTTGGAGTTGAGACGAGTTGCGCTCCTGACACTGGCCCTTTGCCGACAGTTATTCGGGAGAGACTGGAAAGAAAGTGAGTGATTTGGGTTGGGGCTGGGTTGGAGTTGCGACGAGTTGCGCTCCTGACAATGGCCCTTTGCCGACAGTTATTCGGGAGAGACTGGAAAGAAAGTGAGTGATTTGGGGTTGGGGCTGGGTTGGAGTTGAGACGAGTTGCGCTCCTGACACTGGCCCTTTGCCGACAGTTATTCGGGAGAGACTGGAAAGAAAGTGAGTGATTTGGGGTTGGGGCTGGGTTGGAGTTGAGACGAGTTGCGCTCCTGACACTGGCCCTTTGCCGACAGTTATTCGGGAGAGACTGGAAAGAAAGTGAGTGATTTGGGGTTGGGGCTGGGTTGGAGTTGAGACGAGTTGCGCTCCTGACACTGGCCCTTTGCCGACAGTTATTCGGGAGAGACTGGAAAGAAAGTGAGTGATTTGGGGTTGGGGCTGGGTTGGAGTTGAGACGAGTTGCGCTCCTGACACTGGCCCTTTGCCGACAGTTATTCGGGAGAGACTGGAAAGAAAGTGAGTGATTTGGGGTTGGGGCTGGGTTGGAGTTGAGACGAGTTGCGCTCCTGACACTGGCCCTTTGCCGACAGTTATTCGGGAGAGACTGGAAAGAAAGTGAGTGATTTGGGGTTGGGGCTGGGTTGGAGTTGAGACGAGTTGCGCTCCTGACACTGGCCCTTTGCCGACAGTTATTCGGGAGAGACTGGAAAGAAAGTGAGTGATTTGGGGTTGGGGCTGGGTTGGAGTTGAGACGAGTTGCGCTCCTGACACTGGCCCTTTGCCGACAGTTATTCGGGAGAGACTGGAAAGAAAGTGAGTGATTTGGGGTTGGGGCTGGGTTGGAGTTGAGACGAGTTGCGCTCCTGACACTGGCCCTTTGCCGACAGTTATTCGGGAGAGACTGGAAAGAAAGTGAGTGATTTGGGGTTGGGGCTGGGTTGGAGTTGAGACGAGTTGCGCTCCTGACACTGGCCCTTTGCCGACAGTTATTCGGGAGAGACTGGAAAGAAAGTGAGTGATTTGGGGTTGGGGCTGGGTTGGAGTTGAGACGAGTTGCGCTCCTGACACTGGCCCTTTGCCGACAGTTATTCGGGAGAGACTGGAAAGAAAGTGAGTGATTTGGGGTTGGGGCTGGGTTGGAGTTGAGACGAGTTGCGCTCCTGACACTGGCCCTTTGCCGACAGTTATTCGGGAGAGACTGGAAAGAAAGTGAGTGATTTGGGGTTGGGGCTGGGTTGGAGTTGAGACGAGTTGCGCTCCTGACACTGGCCCTTTGCCGACAGTTATTCGGGAGAGACTGGAAAGAAAGTGAGTGATTTGGGGTTGGGGCTGGGTTGGAGTTGAGACGAGTTGCGCTCCTGACACTGGCCCTTTGCCGACAGTTATTCGGGAGAGACTGGAAAGAAAGTGAGTGATTTGGGGTTGGGGCTGGGTTGGAGTTGAGACGAGTTGCGCTCCTGACACTGGCCCTTTGCCGACAGTTATTCGGGAAAGACTGGAAAGAAAGTGAGTGATTTGGGGTTGGGGCTGGGTTGGAGTTGAGACGAGTTGCGCTCCTGACACTGGCCCTTTGCCGACAGTTATTCGGGAGAGACTGGAAAGAAAGTGAGTGATTTGGGGTTGGGGCTGGGTTGGAGTTGAGACGAGTTGCGCTCCTGACACTGGCCCTTTGCCGACAGTTATTCGGGAGAGACTGGAAAGAAAGTGAGTGATTTGGGGTTGGGGCTGGGTTGGAGTTGAGACGAGTTGCGCTCCTGACACTGGCCCTTTGCCGACAGTTATTCGGGAGAGACTGGAAAGAAAGTGAGTGATTTGGGTTGGGGCTGGGTTGGAGTTGAGACGAGTTGCGCTCCTGACAATGGCCCTTTGCCGACAGTTATTCGGGAGAGACTGGAAAGAAAGTGAGTGATTTGGGGTTGGGGCTGGGTTGGAGTTGAGACGAGTTGCGCTCCTGACACTGGCCCTTTGCCGACAGTTATTCGGGAGAGACTGGAAAGAAAGTGAGTGATTTGGGGTTGGGGCTGGGTTGGAGTTGAGACGAGTTGCGCTCCTGACACTGGCCCTTTGCCGACAGTTATTCGGGAGAGACTGGAAAGAAAGTGAGTGATTTGGGGTTGGGGCTGGGTTGGAGTTGAGACGAGTTGCGCTCCTGACACTGGCCCTTTGCCGACAGTTATTCGGGAGAGACTGGAAAGAAAGTGAGTGATTTGGGGTTGGGGCTGGGTTGGAGTTGAGACGAGTTGCGCTCCTGACACTGGCCCTTTGCCGACAGTTATTCGGGAGAGACTGGAAAGAAAGTGAGTGATTTGGGGTTGGGGCTGGGTTGGAGTTGAGACGAGTTGCGCTCCTGACACTGGCCCTTTGCCGACAGTTATTCGGGAGAGACTGGAAAGAAAGTGAGTGATTTGGGGTTGGGGCTGGGTTGGAGTTGAGACGAGTTGCGCTCCTGACACTGGCCCTTTGCCGACAGTTATTCGGGAGAGACTGGAAAGAAAGTGAGTGATTTGGGGTTGGGGCTGGGTTGGAGTTGAGACGAGTTGCGCTCCTGACACTGGCCCTTTGCCGACAGTTATTCGGGAGAGACTGGAAAGAAAGTGAGTGATTTGGGGTTGGGTGAACAAGGAACAGAGGGTAATGGGGGTGAAGCAGATGAAGAGGATCGAGGATCGGGGTTGGGGTTAGGGTCAGGGCTGGGTAGGGAGGTGGGGTGGGGATTGGGGTGGGGGTTGGGACCAGGGTAGGGGATGGTTTCTAGTGAAGAAGTTTAGGCCTCACACTAAATCTCCCCTCCACCCTCTCTTATCCCACCCCTTTCTCCTTCTCCCCTCCCTCTCCTTCCTCCCGGGGCCTTCCTACGAGGCGTCTTCAAAGGAAGCAGCCAAGTGGCTCCCACTCATCCAGCAGAACCGCCAAGCGCCCTCCCTCAACCTCATCGACGAGATGCCGTCGCTTCCCACGCTCAAGTCAACGGACAGGCTCGTCAACAAGTGCAGACCTCACACTGACTCTCTCACTGCTTCCATCCCCCCTCTCCTTTACCCTCTATCCTCCCCCCTCCTCTCTCTCCCTCCCTCCTCCCTTTCCTCTCAGGGCTGCTTATGAGGCCTCCTCCAAGGAAGCCGCCAAGTGGCTTCCCCTCGTGCAGCAGAACCGCCAGGCTCCAACTCTCAACCTCATCGACGAGATGCCGTCTCTGCCCACGCTCAAGTCAACGGACAGGCTCGTCAACAAGTTGCCTCCCCTCCCTCCTTTCCCTCCCTCTCTCCCTCTCTCTCCCCTCCCAGGGCGGCTTATGAGGCCTCCTCAAAGGAGGCGGCCAAGTGGCTGCCACTAGTCCAGCAGAACCGGCAGGCTCCAACTCTCAACCTCATTGACGAGATGCCGGCCCTCCCCACGCTCAAGTCAACGGACAGGCTGGTCAACAAGTTCCGGCCACAGTCAGAGATGGAAAAGGAGGTGGCTGCTGCGCTGGCGGCGGCGGGTGTTGGGGACGACAGGAAGATAGCCCACGGGGAGGCACTTGCTCTCAACAAGGTGAGTCCCTCCTGTGTGACTGGGATGGGTTGGGATGGGGTGTGTCCTCTCTCCCCACCCTCCCCGTCCTCAAGTCAACGGACAGGCTCGTCAACAAGATCCGGCCACAGTCGGAGATGGAAAAGGAGGTGGCTGCTGCAGGGGTGGGGGACGACAGGAAGATAGCACATGGGGAGGCACTGGCCTTGAATAAGGTGAGTGGTAGTGTGTGGGTGGGGGGGGTTATGGTAGGTGCCTCCTCGCTCTCTCTTCACCCTCCTCTCACTCCCCACACTCAAGTCAACGGACGGGCTGGTCAACAAGTTCAGGCCACAGTCGGAGATGGAGAGGCAGGTGGCTGCTGCTCTGGCCCCTGCAGGGGTGGGGGACGACAGGCGAATCGCCCATGGAGAGGCACTGGCTCTCAACAATGTGAGAGTGTGGCTGTGCTAGGGTGGGGTGGGGTAGTGTAGGTGCGTCCTCCCTCTCGCTCCCCACGCTCAAGTCAACGGACAGGCTGGTCAACAAGTTTCTGGAGAGGAAATGGAGAGGGAGGTGGCTGCTGCTCTGGCTGCTCCGCCCTCCCATCCCTCCCGTCCCTCTCCTCCCCTCTTTCCAGATGTCAGTGGAAGAGGCATGGGAAAGGATGAACCGATTAGCCAAGATTCGATCGCTGCTGCTGCTGCCGTCACTGCACCATGCCAGTTGCCCCTTCCCCATTCTCCTGCACACCTTCCTTTCTTCTTTTGTCCTTCCCCTCTCCCCTCTCCCCTACAGATGTCAGTGGAAGAAGCGAGGGAGAGGATGAACCGACTAGCCAAGATGCGGTCGCTGCTGCTGCAGCACGAAGCCAAGGCGAAGCGAGTCAAGAAAATCAAGTCCAAAACCTTCCACAAGATGGAAAGGAAGGTGGAAGAGAGGAAGAGAAAGAAGGGGCTTGCAGCGGGAGGGGAAGGAGGCGGAGAGGAGGAGTGGGAGGATAAGGAAGCAGCGAGAGAAGCTGCGATAAAGCAGGAGTATTTACGCGCTAAGGAGCGAATGACCCTTCGGCATAAGAACACTTCCAAGTGGGCGAAGAGGATAATAGAGAGGGGAATGGCGGCTAAATCGGCGGTTGGAGGGCAGGGGACGAGGGAGGCGATAGCAGAGCAGCTGAGAACGCATGCCTTGCTGACTAGAAAGATTCATTCGGCGACGATTGGGAGAGGGGAGGAGGATGAAGAGGAGGAGGATGGGGAGGGGGAGGGGGAGTGGGGAGAGGAGGGGAGTGGGGAGGAGTCTGGGGGGAGTGAGGGGGAGGGAGGAGGGGAAGGAAGGGGAGGGGAGAAGGAGGGGAGGCGGCTGGTGGCGAGTGCTAAGGCGAGAATCCTGAGGGCGTTGGAAGGGAAAGGGGGAGGGGGGGATGGGGGGGAGGGAGGGGAGGGGGACGGGGCGACGAAGACTGGCCTCTTTGCGTTGCCGTTTATGGCTAAAGCTATTGAGAGGAGGAGATTAGAGGCTCAGAAAGAGGCTATAGAGGCGATTAAAGACCTGGAGGAGGGGTTGGAAGGGAAGGGGTATGGGAGCGGGGAGGATGGGGCGGCCATGGGGGGAAAGGGGGGAGGTGGAAGCGGGGGTGATGGGTGGGGCGGGGGAGGAGGCTGGGGAGAGGAGGAGGATGAGGGAGAGAGGGTGGGAGGAGGGAGGAGGGTGTTTGGGAATTTGGGAGAGAGAGTAGTGGGAGGGGAGGGGCAGGAGGAGAGAGACGAGTGGGCGGCCGTGAGAGAGGGGGAAGGGGAGGAGGGAGAGGAGGAGGAGGGAGGGAGAGGCAACGGGGGATGGTGGGGGAGGAGGGCAAGGCGCAGGGGGGAAGAGTGGACTGAAGAGTGCAGGAAAGGGAGGAGGGGGCGCAGAGGGGAGGGGAGAGGGTAGAATGCTGAAAGAGGAACGGGAGGCAGCACGGCAGGTGAAGGCGATGCTTGGCGCGGGAAAAGGGTTCTCCTTCACAGGGGTGAGTGAGTGCGTGGTTGTTTACTTTAGCATGGTTTGTTTGTTGAGGGAAAAGGGGCTCCTCTAATTGCTCATGCACATGGTTCCATCCATCCATGCGTGATGAGATGAGATGAGCCTATTTTTCCAGTGATTTTTTAGGCGCCTCAACTCAAAAGTCATGTGTGATGTGATGAGCCTATTTTTCTGTGATTTCAACCCAACTCAAAAATAGGCTAACATCTCCCCCCCCCTCCCCACCCCACCCCACCCCTCCTGCAGTTACCCCTTCCCGATGGCTCTGCATCAGCCCCTGTGGATGTGTCATTGCCCCCACTTGAAGGGGATTTGCAGAGGCGGGAGCATTGGAGGGGGTTTCCAGTTTTTCAACCTCTCTTACATCTCTCCACCCACCCACCTATCCACCCACCCCTCCTGCAGTTACCCGTTGCTGACGACTCTGCATCAGCCCCTGTAGATGTGTCTGTGCCGCCACCTGAAGGGGATTTGGAGGCTTTGCTGCGCCACACAGGGGGTGGAGGGGAGAAGGGGGTGGGTAAAAATGGGATGAGGGTGGAGGGAGGGGAGGAGGAAGAGGAGGATGAGGAAGGGAGAGAGGAGAGGAGGGCAGGCGGGGGTGAGGGGGGAGAGAGGGGGAAGGGGAGAGTCAGGGCGAAGGGAGGAGAAGGGGGGAAGAGGGGTGATGGTTTTGGTAATGGTGCTGTGGGTGTTATGCAGGGTGACTCTAGCGAGAGTGAGAGGGAGGATGGGGAGGAGGATATAGACGATGGAGTGGCTTATAACGAGGGGATGCGTTTTGAGGGTAAGGCGGGTGCTTATATGGAGGATGACGCATGGGGAGAAGGTGCAGGGGAGAGGGTGGAGAGGGGGGCAGGAGTGGGAATGGAGGAAGTGGAGGAGGAGGAGGAGGGGGGGAGGGGAGAAACAGGTAGGCAAGAAGAGAAAAGGACGGGCCAGCGGAGGGGGAGGAGGAGGAGGAGGGGAAGAGGAAGGCAACGGAGTGAGTGCGTTCGAGAAAGATCAAGATGAGCTCATGCGATTGGCGTTCGCAGGTGATGACGTGGCAGCAGAGTTCGAGGCAGAGAAAGAGCGGGTGGTGGACAAGGAGGTGGGGAGAGAGGAGGGGCCGGTGACGCTGCCCGGGTGGGGGCAGTGGGAGGAGGTGCAGAGGCGCAAGGGGGCGCCGAAGTGGATCGAGGAGGAGAGGGAGAAGGCGAAGAGGAGGCGGATGGACGCGGTGAAACAGAGGGCGGATTCGAAGCTGACGCATGTGATTGTATCTGAGAAGGACAATAAGAAGGTGAGGAGTGTACTATACGCATGCATTCTTATTTTTGAGATGCCTGAGATAATGGCTGGTATGTTATGGAAGTGATTATTCGTAATGGGTCACTCCTTCTCTCCTTTCCTTCTGATTTCGTTTAATATTGTTTTTTTGTTTTTCTCTATAACTATGGAATTCTTTTCCTACACTGTCTCCCTCTATCCCCCAAATGCCTCACTCTCTCCCATGGGCAGATCGAGAAGTTTTTTGTGCCCGAGCTGCCTAACATGTTCCGCAATCGGGCAGAGTACGCACGCAGCATCCGCAACCCCATTGGCCGGGACTTCAACACGGAAGCAGCGTTCCGCTCCATGACCCGCCCAGCTGTGAGTTTAGTGCAGATACAGGAGGCTGAATGATACAGAGGTGAGTGCACTTAAGAGTTTGCTGCCAGTTGGTGAGTGCAGCTACAGGGATGACTGCAGCTACAACGGTGAGGGCAGCTATAGGGGTAAGTGCAGGGCAGATCTAATGGTGAGTGCAGGGCAGACACCGTGGGGCAAAGGGTAGGGGTGATGGCAGTTAATAACTCAAAGGAAGCAAGGAAGCATCATTCCGCTCCATGGCGCACCCAAGAGTGAGTGCAAATGCAGATTGTGGCAAGGGTCCATGTGTGCATGTACCCCCCCAGGTGCCTGCCCCACAGGGCTCTCTGTGTGTGCATGTACCCCCCCAGGTGCCTGCCCCCACAGGACTCTGTGTGTGCATGTACCCCCCCAGGCGCCTGCCCCCACAGGACTCTGTGTGTGCATGTACCCCCCCAGGTGCCTGCCCCACAGGACTCTCTGTGTGTGCATGTACCCCCCCAGGTGCCTGCCCCACAGGACTCTCTGTGCGTGCATGTACCCCCCCAGGTGCATGCCCCACAGGACTCTCTGTGCGTGCATGTACCCCCCCAGGTGCCTGCCCCACAGGACTCTCTGTGCGTGCATGTACCCCCCCAGGTGCATGCCCCACAGGACTCTCTGTGCGTGCATGTACCCCCCCAGGTGCATGCCCCACAGGACTCTCTGTGCGTGCATGCACTCTGTGTCTTCGCTCCATGACTCGCCCAGGTGAGCCTGCTTGCTTAGCTGATGCGCGGCAAGTGAGAATGCAGCAGCTAGTGAGGGGCCCTTTCTGATGCACCAAGACGGCAGGATCCACTGAGGAAGGGCCAACAGGAGCCGCGGTGACTTTTGAGTCGACTCAAAAGTCGTCCTGCGGTTTGTATTTGCCCTTTCTGATGCACCAAGACTGCAGGATACACTGAGGAAGGGCCTACCAGAGCGGGTAATGAATTCTCTCCCCTTTTCGCTGCGTGTGCTGTGTGTATTCCATGTGTATTCCATGTGTATTCCATGTGTATTCCATGTGTATTCCATGTGTATTCCATGTGTATTCCATGTGTATTCCATGTGTATTCCATGTGTATTCCATGTGTATTCCATGTGTATTCCATGTGTATTCCATGTGTATTCCATGTGTATTCCATGTGTATTCCATGTGTATTCCATGTGTATTCCATGTGTATTCCATGTGTATTCCATGTGTATTCCATGTGTATTCCATGTGTATTCCATGTGTATTCCATGTGTATTCCATGTGTATTCCATGTGTATTCCATGTGTATTCCATGTGTATTCCATGTGTTTTGTATGTCTGTTGCATGCTGTTCCCGCAGGTCATGAAGCCAGTGGGGGTGGTCATCCCACCCGTCAGATACGTCAAGAATGCACAGCCCGCTGATGAGGAGCCAGCAAAGAAAAAGGCCAAGGGAGGGGAGAAGGGGAAGGGAGGGGAGAAGGGCAAGAGAGGAGAGAAGGGCAAGGGCAACCACTGCAATAAGCATGCGAGAGGAAAGGGTGGCGGTGGTGGTGGCGGTGGGAATGGTGGTGGGAAGGGAAAGGGGGTGGCACGAGCGAACCATGCTAAGGGCCATGTGAAGCCTTCCAAATAGAATGTAGCATAGGGATGATCGTGATTAGCATACCATAAAGGTTTTTGAGATATAAAACATTAACCTTTGCACTTCATGATTCGTTTCCCCATAGGGATGGCTTTTGAATGCAATAGTGCAGTTGCGGGATAGCAACTTAGCACCGACGGAGAAGGGTATTTTACCAAAAAACAGAACCATGGAAATATTGAAAGGCTTCACGCACACACACTCTAGTAACTAGCAAGAGACTTTTTATTGTGTTGTCGTCACCATTCAGCCCGTCAAAAAGAGAGCAAGAGCAAAAGAAAGGAAAAGAAAAAGCACAAAGCACACAAGAGAAAGAAGAAAGCAGCACTACCCGCTCACCCAACACGCCTGCTAAAGCAGCACACAGCAGAACAGCAGCACAGTAGCCGCGTTGTTATCCCCCCTGCCCCACCAACACGCGGCCTGCTAAAGCAGCACTCAGCACAACAGCAACGCAGTAGCCATGCCTCACGCAGCTTCCTCAATCCCCTTACGCCAGCACACCAGAAAGCAATCGCCTCTATGGCACCACGTGACGTACGGTATCACTTCCATCCCTTGTTGCCCGCGTTGCCCTTGGGAGTGGTGGGAGCAGAGACCGAATCCAGCGAGCTCTTGCGACTGTTGGCATCAGCGGGGCGAATCTGAACGGACACGCCGGTTTTCACGGACGAGACGGAATCCACGGAGCTCCTGCGGGATCCGCCGTCCTTGGAATCGTATGAGATCATCGAATCCGCTGAGCCCTTTCGGGACGGCGAGCCGTTGAGCGAGGGGACGGACGGCGCCTTCGAATCGTAGGAGATGGTCGAATCCATGGAACCCTTCCGCGAGCCGCTAGGACTCGGGGGGTTAGACGCGACGGGGAAGTTGGAAGCACGGAATCCCCCCGCCTCGGAGGAGACTGATGATTTCCGCGAGCTGCTAGGACTCGGGGGGTTAGACGCGGCGGGGAAGTTGGCAACGTGGAACCCCGAAGCGGCGGACGAATCAGCGGACGATTTCCTGCTTGGGTTGGGCGGAAGGGGCTTCTGAGGTCCCCCCTTGATAACGAGAATGCGCGGCGTCGCCACGTGCGAGTCGGCGCCGTCAACCTCGAGTATCGGCGTCAGAAGGCCGTTGCGCTGGCCCGCAAATCCGAGGAGAGCCCGCCGAGCTTTCGCCGTTGTGGTTTTCACGGACGAGACGGAATCCACGGAGCTCCTGCGGGACCCCCCGTCCTTGGAATCGTAGGAGAAGGACGAATCCGCTGAGCCCTTTCGGGACGGCGAGCCGTTGAGCGAGGGGACGGACGGCGCCTTCGAATCGTAGGAGATGGTCGAATCCATGGACCCCTTCCGCGAGCCGCTAGGACTCGGGGGGTTAGACGCGACGGGGAAGTTGGAAGCGCGGAATCCGCCCGCCTGGGAAGAGACGGATGATTTCTGCGAGCTGCTCGGAGAGGACGGGTTAGACGCGACGGGGAAGGTCGCTGGATCGAACGGAGTGGGCGGGAGGGGCTTCTGGGGAGGTTCCCCCTTGACCTTGACGAGGGAGCGGCGCGGCGCGGCGGAGACTGCAGCGAGGAGGTTAAGAGTCGCGGCGAGGACGAGCGCGAGCAGGAAGAGAGAGCGAAGGGCACCCATGGCTGCGTTTGTTACTCAAAAGAAGCCTGAATAGGAAAGAAGAATCAGATCGCTGGGATGGCCGACGGTAGTTTCAGAGGCTTCTGGGAATGTATTCCTTAGAAGAATATATTTCAAAGCGCTGGGATGGCTGCTACTAGTTCTGGTTGAATGAGGCCTGAATGATGATGATCGGCTTAGCTCGAGCGGATTTTTATACGATGAAGCATCGCGCCACACGGTAAGGCCAGTTTCGGCTTGCTAACGTGTTGCGTCTCGTGGCGCCTCGGTTTTCTGCTGAGCCTCGAAGCGTTGGATGCGGCGCTGTTGAACTCGAAATCATTGCAGGCTCTGAATGCGCGTGTGATCTGGTTGAGTTGCCGGTGATGGGATAAGTTTTGGGAGAGAGGGTGGGTGGAGAAAATGGGTTGAGGAAGGTTTCTCATGATTACGAGAGGTGAAGAGGCTTTACAGGTGTTGGTGTTTCGCAGCTGGAGAAACTTGGCGCTGCTGAAGTTTTCAAATCGCGAGATCACGACTTTCGCGGCGGCATTCGCGGCGGAGCAGTAATTGCAAAATGATGCGACTCGTGTTTTGCAATTACACACTTTAGACATTCTCAGTAACAAAATGTGTGGTAGGTTGTCTGAATTGTAGAACAACTAAAATCTATTTTGTAAGCTGTGCCAAATCAACAGTAGACCGAGAAACCATGCGAATCAGGGGAATCTTCTTAAATGCCAAATGAGCAGTATTTCTAATTTCCTCATTAACATATCCCACGTCAGATTCATTGTCCCCATAATACGCGTCCTTAGAAAGGTACGACTTATAGTGGGGAACCATACTATTAGTGTGAGTAAATCGAGTGAAATATTGTTTCAATATCTCTTCAAGAATTCTTTCAAGTGCGCTTGTAGTGAGCACATTTATAAGTGCAAATAGGCTCCAGCGCAGCAGGTGATGCTATTGACGTGGCGAGCTTGTGTCGGCCCCTCCCGCCTCGCTATTAACGCGCGCTTTAGCGACATGCTAGTGCCCGTCCATGACACCCCCAGCACGCGCCACGTCGGTGCTAGAGCCTGCTCTGCTTTCTCAGTATCATAACGAGCCGACGAGCTGGGGTAGCTGGCGTAGTGGTGAGGCGGTGAGCTGGTGAACAGTTATACTCTCTGACATCTGGCTCTATTTCCGTCGCGACTCGCCATGTGTTGAGCCTAGAAAGTGCGCATGCTGAAATCTTCGTGCGTCCCGATGGAGTCGAGCGAAAATTCGATTCGCTGCTTGTGGCGTCGACTCGAGCCCCGCGGTCGAATCAAGAAGCGGAAGCAGCGTAGAAAAGCAGCTGCAGGAACCATTAGCTAACTCATCTGAAGTTCGAACTCCTCTTGTCGTTTAACCCCTCTGCATAAGCCGTCACACTTAGAACGAACGAACGAACGAACGTCTGAGCAGCAGCAGTTCTGTTTCGATCGCAATAGCAGCAGTAACAACCTCCCTTGTCCATCACAAAAAAAGAGAATTCTCACTAGTGGCATCATGGCTAGCTTGGGTTTGGCTCCTGTTCCGTCTAAGGTTCAATTCCTTAGCGGTAGCAGGACCCATCTCTCGAGACCTACCATGAGTCAAAAGCGCGTAGCCACTCCTCATTCCACCAAGTCCGTCCTTCCTAAGCGGAATTCAGTGGCTGCGGAGAGTTCTAGGCGTGGGGTGTCTTTCAGGGATGGGGAGATGGCTGGTGCTGGACAGGCACGGCTGACTGCTGGAGGCAGGAACTTGATGGGAACGGCTGCAAAGTCTCGCGTTCAGGTGTTGCAAAATTGGCTATCACTGAGTAGTTTCCGCCCGAGTTTCTAGTGTGTGAGGCTAGGGTACAAGTCGATGCAGCTGGAACTGGATGATTTTTGTTTGTTTTCCTCCCTGTTCTGCCTCTTGTTTTGCAACTCACTTCCTGTTCGCTCCACAATCCACTTTCCAATCTCACAGGCGAGGCTGTTCGGCCCAGCGGTCTTTGAGTCGAAGAAGCTTCAGGTGGTGTTCATGGGAGCGAAGGAAGAGCAGCACCCGGCACACGCGCCACTTCCCCGGATGTACACTTTTACCCACTCCGATGTAACTGCTGGGCTCACACTCGCCATCGCTCACGAATTCAATAAATCCCAAGTGAGTTCGAGTCAGGTTGTGGTGGATTAGCCAAAATTACTCCCTCCTTGTCTCTTTTGTCCATTGCATACAGCATGTTTTTATTGCGAGGAACACGTCTTTTTGCATCTCAGGACTTGTCGATGTGGAATTCACGTTCTTTTCCTTCATTGGCATGGTACAGTTTATGGGCTGGTACTCTCGGCTGCAAAGGGACGAGGTTCTTGCAGTGTGGCGCCAGCACTGCAGCCTAGCAGACTTCCGTTCACCCTACTTGAGGGACCCTTGGCAAGAAGTGCACCCAGAGCATGCGTGCAATGGCTCAGACTGCCACATGTCACTCCACGTTCACTGCCACATCAGCGGAGGTCATTTCCTGCTGAACGCCATTGCAGCTCTCAGATTCTGGATCTTCAGGAAGGAGCTTCCAGTCGTTTTGGAGGCGTTCAGACACGGTGACAGGGCTCTCTTTGATAAGCATCCAGGTAGGCTTTCATCAGCGCATGGTATAGCTGTTTTCATGCTAGCTAAACAGGGTTGTTCTCACACAATCTGTTTTTGTGTTTTCAGACCTTGAGGATGCGCTGGTGTGGGTGCACTTCCATTCAAACATTCCAGAGTACAACAGGCACGAATGCTGGGGACATCTGCATTCAGCAGCCCAGGTAAGGACGTGGGCTTCTGCTGTGCTGCATTTCTATGTGCCAGTTTCCATGCATAAGCATGAACTTCATTTGCTGCCGTGCTCCACCTTGCAGACTGGAGCAGAGAAGACGCAATCTCAACTCAGCTACGGGGCACAAAGAGTGGTCGAAGCTATCAGTACAGCAGCAGAGAGGGAGCATCAGTGGCCGGTTGAAGAGAGAAGAGTGGCCATGGCAGGCTTCGAAATCCCTCCACCTCCATATGAGGGCGAGAGCAACTAAAGCAACTAGGGTAATTTGTTCCCAGTGTAAAGCTTAGCTGTTAGGAAGCATGCCATGCCATTTTTTTGCTCTTGCTTGTTTGGACACTAGTTCCGGCGCTTGAGTTTGCTGTGTACATAGTGTGGTGCATCACCACACAGTTTGTTGTGTGTAATTCTTTCTGTTAGAGTAAATGTGGGGTATACACTTTCAACTGCGTCGACCTCCTGCCCTCTCCTAACTCCTGATACATTCTACTGAACACAAGTACCCAGCCGCAACTGGATTGTTCCCACTTTCTCAGTGAAACGCCCTCAATCTTTCGCGTCTACCACTCCTCCATTTGCAATTGCGAAGGTAGCTTCACATTCAGGCAGATTCGGAGAGTCGATGACCTTGCATATGCGCTGCTCTCCCTTACCCTTGCGGAACATCAACCTCACGGTGGATGCATGAGCCATAACATGACCTCCGGCAGGCTTCTTGGGGTCAGCTACGAACGTTCCTCCTCCGGGGTCAGCAATGACTGTCAATTCACCACGCAATGCCAGTCAGTTTGGAACACTGAAGCATCAGTGTGGAGCAATCGTCAGCAACGAGTTCGTTACCTTGATTCGTAAGAAAGACGGCCACGTTAAACTCCTCAGATATTTTCGTGATTCGTGAGAGCATTTGCGCCAGTTTTTGCTGAAGGACGAAACATTGTTAGGAAAATCAAGCAATTCATGTTGGGCAATTTAGTAGTATCGTACCTGTCGCTCTGCGAGTTCTCCACGTCCTGTGAAATCCACCCTGAACAAAGCTGTGATGGAGTCTATGATCTGTCCAGACGAGTAGGTATCCATTTAGAACCAGTGAAAGTGGGCAGAGTGTAATGTAATGAATTGGTAGCCGGAAGAGAAGATGCTCTCACTAGCAGCTTGAAAGGCTCTTCAGCCATTTTTGCGGCAAGTGCAATGAGAAGCTGATATTGATGCTCGTGCGTGTAAGCGCGAGCGAATATGATCTGCATTACGACGGGATTTCAGTGTCACAGACTTACATACATACATCGTCCCTGAAAAAGAATTTGCTTACATTGTCAAGCACGGCATTTGGATCCAAGCCAAATCTCTCGGCGATTGGAACGATTCTCTCTGGACGGCTGATTCACAAACAGGCAAATATAAATAACTTGCAACTTTGTACATCCATCACAACAACTTCTGGTTGGATCATCACTCACAATGTTCCTTCGGTGTCAATGAAGGCCACTTTACCATTGCCACCTTTCATGTTGATTGGCAGCTGCGCAGCGGATAGTCCAGGTAGTTAGCAAACATTGCTTTTCTCAATCTGTTTCTGTCATCTTTCACATAGCAAACCTGTGTGGCCACACACAATGTGTGTGCAAGTTGAGTCTTGCCCGTCCTGGAAGGCATAAACCTGTTAGGTCCAATACCACCACGTGGGGCAGCAAAATAAATACTATGGGCATTATTGGCTTACCGAAATTCACCAAAAGCTTCAGTTATGGCCATGGTCTCAACGCCACCTGGAAACGAGACATGGTCAATGGTCTTGAGGCCTACTGAAGAAAGAAAGAAAGAAATAAACTGCGTGACGGCGAACCTCCAAGGAGATCGTCCAAGGCCTGGCTTCCTGTCGTGATCCTTACGACTTGTTTCCTCTGCGGGCAATATATCGTGAGTGAGGGTGCGCACGCAACTTAATGAAGCTAGGAATGATGCATGTGAGCATGAATCCTTACCAGGTTAAGAGCTTCGTTTCCCGTAACATAGCCACAGTTCTGTAACCAAATTGACTCAACCCATAGGTTAAAGCTCCCGTTGTGAGATGCGAATGTAGCAGATAGTGAAGAAACTTACCACTAGTTTACCCGCGGCCTCAAGAATCTTCTCGACTTTGGCATCGGAAAGACCCTTGATGTCACAGAGGGCCTGCGAAGAAAGGCACGGTGGGTATCGTGGTTACCACCATTTCCCACAGAGATAGGAATCCTGGTAATATAGCTACCTTCTTTGTCCACATCATCAGTCCATTGCAAGTGTAAACTCCAGCATCCTGAAGTTTCTTAACGTCTCCAGCATTAATTCCCTGCGTGATCACTGTCGAGAACGTCAACCCCTCGCTACAGCAAACTGAAGTCCCTCAATGTTTGGATGCCTACACTTCTCAATTGACTCAAATGTTTCTTCTTCATCTTCAGATTCCTGGGCAGCATCAACCACATGGGGAGCTTGTTCTGCCACCGCTTCCGACCTGAAGAAGCAATATGCTCGTGAATGAAAAGCTAGGGAGTTGAAGCGGACACGGATTGCCTAAACAGCCGCTTACATGTTTCTGTTTGATCGAAGTGGAGCTCAAAGTGAAGCAATATGTGACTGAAGGGACACGGCTGAAGCAACAACGAGGAGTTGGCTAGATCACCCCTGAAGGTATTTGTTTGTGTCAGGATGTTGAACTGGAAATGAGAAGCTTGGAACTCTCGACTTAGAGCCGAAACGAATCTCGGGAATTCGGAAAGCGGGAAGCTGGTCCCTCGAGATGATCCACCATTCGGTTGGTCGCACCAATATTATCCCGATAAACGCGATTCGAACATTAAAAGCAATGTGGGTTGTGTACACTCGAGAACCAAGTGAGGTACAAAAGTTATTGGTTGCTCTTACCTCTAAAAAATGGACACACTGGCTACGTCCTAAGCCAAAACTCAAATCAGCCAAGTGAATTCAATAACATCTTGTCAATCTACGCACATCATTGATTATTCCCAGGACTTCAGTGTTCATCATGACGAAATATGTGTACAACATGAAAGTACAAACCAGATAACATAAGATGCATGTGTTGAGGCGGTCTACATTGGCACACTGCGTGCGTGTGTCTCTCCCAAGAGTTGGAATTTCCTTCATCCCAAGGTAACTTATCTCTTCCAAGCAACCGCCACACACGGCTGGGGATGGAAGAGCTTCTCAAGCAGCCGCCACACATGTCAAAGGATTACCAGAAGGAGCCTGGAACCCGTTGTCACACTTGCACACATATTTCGGCTTGGCTGTAGCTGCCACTGACGTATCCACGACACACACCCCATTGCCTCCACACTGCCCCACCGGTGTCCCTGTTCCGCAAAACGCGCTACACTGCTCCGGAAGCTTCTGACCCTCCGCCGTACACTCCGCATCCCCTTCACCGTCAGTCGTCAGGCAGTTCCCCTCCACAAGAACCTTCTCAGGATACTCGGCAGGGCAGACCTGAGATGTGCCAGGGTAGTCCTCCGACCCGGGCACCTGAATAGTCAACTGCGTACTGCCCTCAAAGTAATTTCCTGAAAGGTCCAGGAGAACGCTGAACATGTAGCACGAAACGCTGTCAGAGCCATCGAGACCCGGAGAGCCGCAGCCCTGGCCCAGGTTCGGAAATTGAGGCAGTGGACCCGTGAGAAAATTGTTGGCCAGCTTCAGTGCCCGCAATGTCTGCCCGAACTTGGAGAAAGTTGCCGGAACGACCCCGTAGAATTGGTTGTTGCTCAAGTCGAGGTTCATCATGTTGGGGAAGTTGCCCAAGAAATCCGGAATTACCCCAGAAATTTTGTTCTGACCGACGTCAAAGATTGACAGTGCAGGGAGACCGGCTATGCTTCCTGGAATCTGCCCCGTGAACTGGTTGTCGCTCAGATCAATGGCTGAGATTTGCCGACAGTTGCCCAGGCTGGAGGGAATCGCCCCGGAGAACTTGTTGGCGGAGAGGCCGAGAGACTGCAGTGACGTCGCATTCGCGAAAACGTCGTCGGCGATGGTCCCCGTGAAAACGTTACCGTCAATCTGCAACATCGCCATGGGCACAACCGGCTTTCTAAAAACCTCGTTAAACGGAAACTCGCCAACGAGGTTATTATCGCTGAGGTACAGCGACTGCAGACCGGGTAACGCCGCGAGTAACCCTTTCGGAATGCTTCCTCTCAGGTGGTTCCCCCTCAGGTCCAGAGCGGTCAGCCCAGTAAGCTTCGTCAACAGCATCGGAAGCGGGCCGGCGATCTCCGCACGTGGTAACTCCAGCGCTGTAACAGATCCGAATTCGTTGATCGTCACACCCCACCAGAGCTCGGCCTGCGCCGACTCCACCCACGTTTCCGACTGATAGAAATTGCCTCCCCAGGCCTTTTTCAGGGCGAGCAGCACGCCGCGCTGCGTCAGGTTCACGCTGATCGGCATCGTCTCGACGCTGTTGCCGACGAACTTCGCCATCGTTCTGTCGCGCTGCTTGAGCTTGTTCAGCATGTCCTGGACGCCCTTGCTGAAGCCCTTGAACGGGCTCTTGAAGATCTGCGCCTTGTTGAGAGGTTTGATAGCGAGGCGACGCCGGGGAACGTCACCGGGGCCCGGCCAGAAGAGAAGGAAGGCTGCTATGATGGCTAGCAGCCCTACGCCGACTGATTGTAACCTCGAGGCTGGTTTGGCTGGCGACATGCTGGTTAAATATAAGTAATACCTATTGTTAAAAAAAAAAAAAAATAGCTGAGCGATTTTCCGGCTTGAATGTAGTAGGGATAATTACGTAGCTATGCACGGCAAGGTGCAGATGGACACGAGAGTTGGAGCTTCAGGTCGAGTGAATCCTGGCTTATGAGTCGGCAGGACGCGGTGGAAGGCCTTCTTGGTTATCAGGAACAAGTGACGTTGTAGAACGCATATGGTTTTTAGTCTAGACAAAAACGCAACCCTGCACGGTTTCCGAAGAGGCCTGCAGCTGGCAAATATTTCAGCGATGTGTGGTTGACCAGCTAGCAACGAGACAGAGAAAGGTTGTTCCAGCGGATCCTGTATGTGAGGGAGGGTGGCTAATTGGGCGAAGCCGTGATTGTGTCTCCGTGACCGCAGCAGTCCCTTGTGGTCGAGTGGCGGCGAGGCGAGTTCTGACGCACTTGTCTTGGTTCAGCTAGGAGCAACATGATGGCTTCATCCCTTTAGCTGGACGGGAATGACGGCGATGTTGGAGAAATGCCTTCCTCCCTCCCTGATGAACTGGTGAAGCTTGCTGGTGATACCTGAGAGGGCTTTCCCTCCCAATCGCACGGTGGAAACTGAACGGAAGCTGTGACTATGACTGAATGGACGGTCCAAGTGGGCTGGGTTACACCTGTGGCAGCGGCGCAAACATCAGAAAATGCACCTGCGCCATATTCGGTGGGAAGTTGTTCAGGTGCATACTTCGCCCGTTCTGTTGAATGATGCGTTTTTGTGGGAATGGTACGCCATCTGGCACCACATAAATTTCAACATAAATTTTCACAATTGGTGCGAGGAAATTAGCATGTATAGCATGATCCATAATTTATATAATAATCTTAGTAATATGATAATAAGAATAATTATCTATAGCTTTAGTAAAGAAAATTGGTAGTGTTGGTTTTGAAACATTATTGTTTGTAGATTGTTTAGGTACGTATTATTGATGTGAAAAAAATCATTAATGGAACTGTTTTTGCTGAGATTAATTTCGGAATCTGGACACTAGCTCCCCGCCTCTGTGTACATAACCGCGAAAGCCTCTTTCCATGACAGTGTCTAACAGATTCATCAGTAGCCTTCAGCAATTACCTTATCACTTACCGTCCTGTCAGCAGCTCACCTGGATTCCCGTCATTCTTTCCCGTGCGGTTGATTGCATTTCTTAATCTACCTCTAGGTGACAGCGAGTACCGAATGGGTCTATGCCACTCTGTGAGCTGCTTTATGTCCTAGCCTTTGCGCTTCGCAAACTGCAACTTAGCCACGCATTGAATGTGCCGTAAGTCTCTGGTTGTTACAGTGCTTGCACGTCATTTTAAGCTCCAGGTTGCTTCCGGTTGGTCCCGGTTCCTCCCGGTTGCTCCCGGCTGCCAGCGTCCGTATGTCACTCCCGGCATTGTCCTGCCAATGGGGAGTGGTGTGACACCCTTGCAGTGAAGTTACTGACGTCTGCTTCCGCATGCGGTGGCTCGTTTTCCATTCCGACCTAGAGTGCACTGGATCCTCGCTATAAGCGCTCGCCGATGACATGTCTCGAAGCCGTTCGAATCTGACGAGGATTCCTCCGTTCTGTCCCCGGAACCGTAGAATCTACACATTAGCAAGACCATTGTACCTAGTACTTGCCCTCGTGGTTTTACTTACCCATTGTAGAGCTGCTTCAATACTAGCTGATGACGATTCGTCACTAAAGTCCCCTTCAACTAGTGTTTCCAGCAACCCTAATCGTCAATCCCGCCGTTTAACAACCTTCACGTTTGCATCACAGCGTGGCCGTTTGCGGAGACGCACAAACGAGAGTTTGCTACCGTCTATCATCAATGGAGAGAGCAGAACCGACGATTCGATTTGTGCGAGCAAAATCGCAGGGACAAACGGATGCGGCGGAAGCGGAAGCGGAAAGGGGGGAAGTGGCGGACGGGTGGAAAATGGCGGAAGCCAGGACACCAGCCTCAGGCGGAGGCTATGGCAGCGGTTCATGGGCGGGGACGAGGCGGAGAAACACAAGGGGGAGAAGGAGCATGGGGGTGTGGGATTGGGGATGGTTCTGGAACGCAGAGAGGAGCGGCGGGAGAAAATCGCGCGGGAGTTTGTGCCGTTAGACCGGCTCGATCGTGAAGAGGGGGGATTGCGGGGGTTCGCGAATGGTCTCTCGCGGAAAGAGACAGGGGGAGGCGGAGGGGCGGCGGATAGCGGGGCTGGTGGTAGTGAGAACAGCGGCAGTGGCAGTGGTGGCGGTGGCAGCGGTGGTAGCAACTCCAACAGCGGTGCTTTTGTAGGAGGTGCAGCAGGGGAAGGTGGGACGGGGAGTGATAAAAACGACAGGGCAGGCTCGGGAGGTGGAGGGGGAGAGCAGCAAGGGAGCAACGGGAAAGGCAAGAGAGAAGCAGCTCAGACCCAGCTAGACGAAGACGATATCCCTCTGCTTATGCCTTTAAAGGGGTTGTTTAAAAGCAAGGATCTTGACGAGGAGATTAAAGAGGAGGAAGAGGAGGAGAGGAAGAAGGGGGAGAGGGGGGCGGAGAGGAAGCGGCATGTCGCGAGACGGGAGTTTCGAAGCGATGACTGGAGTCACCTGGGGGAAACGCGGCCTGGGTTGTCGTCTGGTGAGAGCGGTGCCGGTGGGGGTGGTGCTGGAGCGAACACAACTGGTGCTGCTGCCACTGGGGCTTCTGCTGGTGATGGTGTTGCCAGGGATGGTGGCAGTGCTAGTAACGAAGCCAGCAATGGCGCGTTAGGTGCTTCTAACGGAGATTCACAGGAAACCGCAGCCGCAGGTACCCAAGCCAGCACTGGTGCCACTAAGGAGGGCGAGAATGGGGCTGCCAAGCCAAGTGTGACTAAAACGAATGAGACGAGTGGTGAGAAGGGCGGCGATGTGGGTCAGCTAGTGGGGCGAATCCTCGATAGGCTGGACGATATGGAAGACGAGGGGGGTAAGTTCAACAAAACCCTCGAAAAACAAGAGGCAGTTCTGGAAACAGTCGCCCGGGTGGGTAAACACCATGTGCTAGAAGAGGTGAAGGAGAGGGAGCAGCGGGAGGAGCAGGAAGACCGACAGGTTCTAGAGGAAGCAGAGAGGGAGGAAGCACAGGAGAAGATGAAGCAGCTAGAGCAGGTAGCTCTAGCCATGGCTGCTGCTGAAGCCGAGAAGAAGGCGAAAAAGAAAGGGGTGGCGGCGGTGGCCGCGGTGGTGAGTCAAGGCGTGAAAGCGAGCGAAGTGTCGCTTTTTGACCTGGTGTTTGGGCGGGATAGCAGCGGGAAGCAACCTCCCCCAGTTTCGCCCTCCCCCAGCATCCGTACGAAGAACCTGACCAGGCTAGCTGCAGCTAAGAAGCGGTTTGCTGAGAGAGCAGGGCGGGGGGCGAGGGAGAAGGAGAGATCTGAGAGGGTGGATGAAGGGGAGAACGATGTTCCGAGGCTGATAGACTCGCAGGACAACGAGTACGTTATAAGCAGCCCCGGTAAGGGGTCGAAGATGCAGCTACAGGAGGACTTTATGCTTATATCGGATGTGGTGAAGGTGATAGTGGCGGCGGCGCTGGGCGGGCTTGCGTGTGGGCTGGTGGGGCAGCCGATCATCTTGGGGTACATCGTTGCAGGGATGATCATAGGGCCTGGTGGATTCGGCCTCATTCACGAGCTCGTGCAGGTGAGACGAGGTTGCATTGCAGTGTCGTCACTGATAACTAGAACTCTCGTGTGGGCTGGTGGGGCAGCAGATTATCCTGGGATACATCGTTGCAGGGATGATTATTGGACCCGGAGGGTTTGGTCTTATCCACGAGCTTGTGCAGGTGAGGCGGAGAGGTGTGTGGGCTGATGTGTGGATTGGTGTGTGGGCTGGTGGGGCAGCCCATCATCCTGGGATACATCGTTGCAGGGATGATTATAGGGCCCGGAGGATTCGGCCTCATTCACGAGCTTGTGCAGGTGAGACGAGGTGTGAGTGATGCATGGTGAGGCATGGTGAGGCATGGTGAGGCATGGTGAGGTGTGGTGATGCATGGTGAGGCATGGTGAGGCATGGTGAGGTGTGGTGAGGCATGGTGAGGTGTGGTGAGGCATGGTGAGGTGTGGTGTCATGGTGGTTGCACCATGACAACCAGGTGTCAGGCAGGGGCTGGTGGAGTGATGGAGCAGCCACGAGGTCTGGCCTGGGGTTCATTGCCTTAAATCCCTCTCCTCTCTCGCTCCCTCTCACTCACTCACTCTCAATCTTTCATCTCTCGCTCTCTCCCTCGCACACAGGTTGAAACCTAGCTCAGTTCGGAGTGGTCTTCCTGCTCTTCGCCATCAGGGGTTGAGTTCAGCCTCACTTGCATGCAAGGCGTGTACACTGTCGCTCTCTCACTTACTCCTTACCTCCCTCCCTCCCTCCTTGTCTCTCACCCGCAGGTTGAAACCCTAGCCCAATTCGGAGTAGTCTTTCTCCTCTTCGCCATCGCGGTGGAGTTCAGCCTGGCCCGCATGCAAGGCGTGCACGCCGTGGCGCTATCAAGAAGGGGGCGGAGGAACGGAGACCTTGCACGCTCCACTCCCTCTTTCCCTCACACACTCACTCCCTCTCGCTCACCCCCTCCCTCCCCCACTCACTCACTCCGTCCCTCCCCTCTCCCTCACCTGCAGGTGGAGACCCTAGCACAGTTTGGGGTGGTATTCCTGCTCTTTGCCATCGGGGTGGAGTTCAGCCTCGCCCGCATGCAAGGCGTGCACGCCGTGGCGCTAGCGGGCGGCATAATCCAGATCGGCCTGTCCATGGTGCTGGGCGGCATCGTGAGCTCCAACACCCCCCAGGGGCTGTTCATAGGGGGATTCCTCTCCATGTCGTCTACTGCTGTGGTGCTCAAATGCCTCATGGATATCAACAGCATGGGCACCGAGCATGGGCAGGTACGGCCGTGTTGGGGGGAGGGGACGGGAAAAAGGGGGAAGAAGGCTTTTGCGTGGGCTTGAGGGGCATCTGAGCTCCAAACAGGGGCTGCTGCTCTTAGGGGGATTCCTCTCCATGTCGTCTACCGCTGTGGTGCTCAAATGCCTCATGGATATCAACAGCGTGGTGCTCAAGTGTCTGATGGACATCAACAGCATGGGAACAGAGCACGGGCAGGTATGGCAGCATGTTCAGTTACGGCAGTACAGACAAGTCTGCGTGTGTGGGAGGGGAGGCAGGGAAGTATGAGCTGTTTTGAGACGTCTCAAAACACTTCTTCAAACACGTAGCTGCGTGTGTGGGAGGGGAGGCAGGGAAGTATGAGCTGTTTTGAGACGTCTCAAAACACTTCTTCAAACACGTAGCTGCGTGTGTGGGAGGGGAGGCAGGGAAGTATGAGCTGTTTTGAGACGTCTCAAAACACTTCTTCAAACACGTAGCTGCGTGTGTGGGAGGGGAGGCAGGGAAGTATGAGCTGTGAAGGGTGCTGGGCGGCATCGTGAGCTCCAACACGCCTCAGGGGCTGTTCATAGGGGGGTTCCTCTCCTCTCCGTGTCTTCTACTGCCGTGGTGCTCAAATGCCTCACGGATATCAACAGCATGGGCACCGAGCATGGGCAGGTACAGTGATTCAGAGCACGGGCAGGTGTGGGTGTGATGGGAGGGGAGGCAGGGTAGTATGGGCTGTAAAGGGTGCTAGTCCCCAGGGGGTAGGGGCTGTTCATAGGTGGATTCCTCTCGATGTCTTCTACTGCTGTGGTGTTGAAGTGCCTCATATGGATATCAACAGCACGGGCACCGAGCACAGGCAGGTACGGCAGCTCAACTTACCCTGGCTCTTCAAGTATGCCCCGCATTCCCCCTCCCGTACCAGCACCCTTTTGAGTCGACTAGTAATAATTTGAGTAGGTTTTTCCAACCGAATAAATAACTTTGTTTCCCACCCATTCGCTGTCCCCCCATTTTCCATGCCCCGGCTTCTTGTCCTCCCCAAACCCCGGCCCCTCGCAACGCCTCTCCTCAACTCTCCTCAACTCTCCTCAACTCTCCTCAACTCTCCTCAACTCTCCTCCCCCTCCACTCCATCAGATCATGCTCGGAACCCTAATCAGTCAGGACTGTGCCCTTGGCCTGCTCCTTGCAATAATGCGAGTTGACTTTTGAGTCGACTCAAAAGTCAACACGCCCTCTCCTCAACTCTCCTCCCCCTCCACTCCGTCAGATCATGCTCGGAACCCTCATCAGTCAAGACTGTGCCCTCGGCCTCCTCCTCGCAATAATGCCGGCGCTCGCCGCCCGCCCCGCGTCCGCCTCGGCCATCCTTCTCGCCCTGCTGCGCGAGCTCCTCATCCTCCTCGCCTTCGCCCTCATCGCCTGGCTGCTCGCCCGCTTCTTCGTGCCCCGCTTCCTCCCGCTGCTGCTGCGCCTGGCGCGCGGGTCGTTCAACAGTGAAATCTACCACTTAGGCGTGGTGGCAGTCTGCTTGTGCATCGCTCTGCTCTCCGAGGGGCTCGGCTTGTCACTCGAAGTCGGAGCGTTTGTGGCTGGCCTCATGCTCTCAGGTGAGCCTCCTCTCCTTTCCTCTCTTCTCCCGCTGCTGCTGCGCCTGGCGTGCGGGTCGTTCAACAGTGAGATCTACCACTTAGGCTTGGTGGCTGTGTGGCTGTGCATTGCTCTACTCTCTGAAGGGCTCGGATCGGCTTGTCGCTTGAAGTGGGAGCCTTTGCGGCTGGCCTCATGCTCTCAGGTGAGTCTCCTCTCTCACTCCTTCTGCTACTGCTACCGCTGCTACTGCTTTCTCTTCCCCCTGCTGCTGCTGCACCCTCTTCCGCCCCCAACTGTGGGAGCCTTTGTGGCTGGCCTCATGCTCTCAGGTAAGTGTTTGCTGCTTTCCTGTAAGCTTTCTGCTTGCTTCCCCCTGCTGCTGCTGCTGCTGCTGCTTTCTGCCGCTGCTGCTGCTCCTCCTCCTCCTGCTGCTGCTGCTCCTCCTGCTGCTGCTGTCCTGTGCTTTCCCCTCACTCCACCCTTCTCCTTGCTCCCGTCCCTCCAGGCAACAGCTACAGCGAGCGCACGCTGCATCAAATCGAACCAATCCGCAACCTCTTTGCAGCGCTCTTCCTGGCGAGCATAGGCATGGTCATGCACCCGCTCTCTCCCCATCCCCCTCACTCCAACCCTTTTCCCCACCAGGCAACAGCTACAGCGAGCGAACTTTACACCAAGTGGAGCCCATCCGCAACCTCTTTGCGGCGCTCTTCCTGGCGAGCATAGGCATGGTCATGCACCCGCTCTTCCTGTGGCAGCACATCGACATCCTTCTCGCTGCTGTGGCTGTTGTCTTTTGCGCCAAGGCCTGCCTCATTGGGTTTGTGGTGAGTGGTGCTGAGCGGTGGTGAGGGGTGTGAGGAGCCTGTCTCGCCTGCCTGCTTCTCCCTGGCACGGTGTGCTCTTCCTGGCGAGCATAGGCATGGTCATGCACCCGCCCTTCCTCTGGCAACACATCGACATCCTCCTCATTGCTGTTGCAGTGGTATTCATTTCCAAAGCCTGCCTTGTTGGATTCGTGGTGAGTGCTGCCTGTGTTGGATCCGTGGTAGTGAGGGGTGGTTAGGGGTGGAGAGGGGTGTGAAGAGCCGCTCTTCCTCTGGCAGCACATCCACAACCTCCTCTCTGCTGTTGCTGTGGTGTTTGTCTCGAAAGCCTGCCTTGTGGGCTTCGTGGTAAGTGGTTGTGAGCGGTGGTGAGGGGTGCAAAAAGACAATTTTCCCACCTGCTTCTCCCTGGCACTGTGTGCTCTTCCTGGCGAGCATAGACATGGTCATGCACCCGCCCTTCCTCTGGCAGCACATCGACATTCTCCTTATTGCTGTGGCTGTGGTTTTCATTTCCAAGGCCTGCCTTGTCGGATTCGTGGTAAGTGCTGCCTGTGTTTTCATTTCCAAGGCCTGCCTCATTGGGTTTGGGTTTGTGGTGAGTGGTAGTGAGGGGTGGAGAGGGGTGGTGAGTGCATGCACGCACGCGCGCGCGCGCGCACACACACACACACATTTGCACAAATTCACACAGATGCTTATCTTTTCTCTCACCCTCCCGGACCAACCAATCAGGTTCGGGCGTTTGGCTACAGCGCCGGCACGGCAGCTTCAGATCGGAGACTTCTCCTTGGTGCTGCTCTCCCGCGCTCAAACCCTCAAGCTCGTGGCCACAAGCTCTACCTCCTGCTCGGGGGCACCACCGCGCTCTCTCTCGTCCTCACCCCCTTCACCTTCCGTGATCTGCACTCCACTTTGGAATGTCTCTTTCTCCTTGTCTCCCTCCTACTCCCCCTTCATCTCTCCCTCCCGCTCCCCCTCCCCTCCCGGACCAACCAACCAGGTTCGGGCGTTTGGCTACAGCACCGGCACAGCCGCCTCAGTCGGGGTGGCTCTAGCGCAGATCGGGGAGTTCTCCTTTGTGCTCCTCTCCCGCGCTCAAACCCTCAAGCTCGTCGGTCACAAGCTCTACCTCCTGCTCATGGGCACCACGGCGCTCTCCCTCGTCCTCACCCCCTTCACCTTCCTCTTTGTCCCCCGCCTAGCCCTGCTCTTCCCCTCTACTCGCTCCCGGGCCCGGGCTAAGGCGTCCCCCGCCCCTGCTGCTGCACAGGAGAAGATCAAATCGGGGTATGGGATCAAATCAGCAGCTGTGAATGGGGTGGGCGGGGAGGATAGTGGTGGCGGTGGTGGGTTGTTGGGTGTTTTGTCAGGTAGTGGGGGAGGTGTTTCTGGTGGAGGCGCAGGTGGTGGTGGGGGTAGTGGTGATGGTTACCACCATCATGCGAGTCCGTTGACTGGCATTTCCCCTAGAGACGCAGCAGCAGCAGATTCCGGTGATTCCTCAGCTGTGGTTTCAGGTGGAGTTTTGTCTTATCTGCTACGGCAGGTGCAGCCACGCACTCGGAACTCTGCTAAAGCTGCAGGAACGACAGGTGATGGTGCTGCAGCTGGTGCTACTGCTGCTTCTGGTGCTTCTGCTGCTGTTTCTGGTACTGCTTCTGGTGCTGCTTCCACTAAAAGTGATTTGGTATCAGCGTCACAGTCTGGGTTCGGTCGAGCGCTAAGTGTTGGTGGCAGCAGCACGGCAGTCACTGCAACCAGCAGTGGAACAAGCAGCACTGTAATACTTACCAGCGCAAGCATAGGGCGAAGCAGCAGTAGCCGCACAGAGAGAGAAATCAGAGATAGAGATTGGGAGCGAGACAGGGACAGGGACAAGGCATCAGCTGCGGCTGCAGCAGCAGCAGCAGTAACAGAGGCTCTTAATCGAGCAGGGGGAGGAGGAACAGCAGCAACCACAGGATTCGCTATAGAAGCATCCTCCTCCTCCTATCCTCACACCCTCGTCTCCCCAACATCAATTTCACCAGGTATAAGCCCTCCCAGTATAAGCACACCCAGTACAAGACCACCCATTCAACGCCCCTGGGGCTCCCCTAGAAACGCAGCAGCAGAAGGAGGAGGAGGAGGAGGAGGAGGAGGAGGAGCAGCAGCAGCAGCAGCAGCAGGGGATTCTCTACAAGCACAGAGGCTGTTGTGGAAAACAGGGTCAGGGAAAGGCCTGGTTCGCAGTCCCAAGATGTCAGGGCAGAGCCCCAAGGTCTCTAGTCAGAGTCCCAACGTTGGAACCCAGAGTCCGAAATTGGCGTCACAGGGGGGGATAGCCCAGGTGACGAGTCCTACAAAGGGGTTGAGACAGGTTGGGAGGGGTTCAGGGACAGGGGCGGCAGGTGGAGGGATAGGGGGGTCTGGGGTAGGGAGGTCACAGCAGGGGGGGCAGCAGCAGGGGCAGCAGCAGGAGCAGCAATGGGGACAGCAAGGGGGAGGGATGGAAGATGGGGAGCAGCGAGGGGGCTATCGATTCTCCACAGCTTCTTTTTTCACGAGGTGGAATCAGAAATCACCCAGGGAGCATGGTCCGTGAGGGACTGGAGTCATAGGTGCCATCGTAATGCATCGTGCCAGTTTCAGTTGTGATGAATGGTGGGGAGTGCTGTGGTGTGCGCCTTGATATGCCGTGCAGGCCACTGTCACACGAGAGACTCAATTAGTACCTACCTTGCAACGGATTGGTTACCAGCAGAGTTTGTGCATCTGGGTAACATGGGATACAGTTACTAGCATGGCATGCTATGCTTACATTGAGTTTTGTATGGCCCTCAGCATTGAGATGTTTCAAGCACTGTAGATAATTGATTCCATCACAAAACTTTGTTACGGTACATTGACTAGAACGTGCACATACAAGCAAAAAGCAAGGGGAAAACAAGACTTAGTCAAGGCAAGGCAACAGCTGTATACACATCAGCGACGCAAGGCTTTGGCTAAAGTCCCATGCAGCCTCCTCTCATTCCCCCTTCCCTTTCCCCCACACCAGCCATTGTCTCGCTCTCTCCACACTCCTCCGTGGCAGCAGCTACGGTATCACAGTAACAGAATCTACTGTGCACGTGTATGTGTCCAACCGCTTTCAGGGTAACTCTGTAACCACATCCACCCTTGCAGCTCAAGCCCCTGCTGCAGCCACCCCTACCTTTCTCTCCCTCACCACAATCCTCAGTGGCTTTGCCAGAGCCATGGTCAGCCCAAATGTTTCCATCATGTCCACTCCTCCAGCTGCCCTCACATTTTCGGGCAGCTCAAAATCAAACCGCAGAACAAAATTTGCCAGCAGGCGGGCAGAGAGGTCCAATCCCAGGTTCGTTCCAAGGCAACCTCGCCTGCCCGATCCAAAGGGTAGCAGGCTGAAATTTTGCCCGGTCACATCAGGGGCAGCAGAGTCAAGGAACCGGGAGGGGTCAAATTCATGCGGGTTGATCCAGACCGTTGGATCGTGCGCGAGAGCCCAAGCATTGATCTGGATCATGGTGTTGGGAGGGATGTGGTAACCACCTAGAGTAACGCTACCAGTTGTCATGTGGGGAAGGAGGAACGGAGCGACCGGGTGATGCCTAAGTGTTTCTTTTAAAACAGCCTGCAGATACGGCATTTCCGCTACCGTAAGAGACACCAACAAATCCGACCCTGATGCTGCGCCCACCCCAGTTTTGGCGGCTGCAGTTGCTGAGCTGGCATACGCCGCATCCACCTCAGCTCGAAGTCTTTCCAGCATGTCAGGATGCTGTGCCAGCTCAGCAAGCGCCCATTCAACGGTCTTGGAGGTGGTATCAGTCCCGGCCATCATCATGTCAACTGCGAGCATCAGCATCTCGTCTCTATCCATTTGATCCTCCCCTTCCCCTTCCATCTCGAATAGCACGTCAACAAGTGCAGTCTCGCCACCTTCTGCACTATTCTTCTTTTGCAGCACGAGTTGGCGCCGCTCCGCGATGCACGCGCGCATGAATCCGTGTAGCTGCGGCGCGAGGCGCTGAGCGCGCGCGTACATTCGCAGCGGGTCCCAGTAGCTCAGCAGAGGGACATAATCCGCGATGTTGAACGCTCCCGCAACTGCAAATCCCTCCTCGACTATTGCAAACGCCAATTCGCCTTCCGCTTTTGCTGACAAAGCTGACGAGTAATCTCCCGCCACGTCCTCTGTCAGAAAAGATAGTAACTTCAAGTTATCTTCTGCGGAACCCTCAGAACCCATGGCTGGAGATGAGGCAGCCGCGTCGGCAGTGGCGCTGACCCCGCCGCCGCGTTTCTCGCCGCTCAGTGCGGCGATGCGTTCGTTCCAGTCGATGCGCATCGCGGCGTCAAGAATCGCCTTTGGCGTGGTGCCCGCCGCGCCGCGAATCGTGGAATAGCCGAAGCGCTTCCCAACAGCAAGGCGGAGAATGTTGTTCAGCGTAGCGCGATTCAAATACCTGCGCACCTCGATCTCCTCCTTTGTCGCGGCGGCGGATTTCACGGCATCAGCAGCAGCACAGCTACTAACGGAAGTCGTAGCGCCCGTTTTAGTCACATCTTTGGCAGCTGCGTCAGCAGCGATTGCATCGAGCATGTCGCGAATCTCCCCCTCTCGCACGGGAAGGCTCTCCTGCAGTTTCTTCGCAGATAGAAGGTGGAGCGTCGCCAGACGTCGCATCTTTCGCAAATGGTCGTTGGCTGGCGAAAACGCGATGTTTTTGCCGTCGAGAGTGAGCATCGCCACGGTGGGAGTCAGCGGACGTGACGAGCAGAGCTTGTCTTTCGTTTTAAGCACCTCGCGAGCGAGCTCTGGCGACGAAATCACCACTGACGGCGTGGAACCGAACCAGACGGTCAGGGTCGGGCCGTACTTGTCGGCCAGCTTCGCGAGAGAGCGGAAAGGCAGCGGTCCCAGGTCCGGAAGGTTGCCGAGGATGGGCCATGGGGAAGGGCCGGGGGGGAGGGAGCGACGGCGGCGGAGAAATGAAAGCCAGGACGTCGAAATGAGAGCGGCGACGGCTGCGACCACGGCTGTGATGATAAAATGCGGGTTGATTGATACCAGACTTGAAAAGTCGACTCGGCTTGAAGTGGTTGGACTAGGGAAGAGCTGCTGGGTCGTGTTGAATCCGCTAGTAGACCATCCGCCAGGAAGTGCATCAGCGGCAGCCATTGCGGCAGAGCCTTCTCGCCTTTATTTTGAGAGCACAGAAAAGGCGAGAAAACGAGGCTGAATTAGCGGTTGGCAGTCGCAAGAAAGCTAGATCTGGAGGAGCCAATTGCCGAGCAAAAAAAGATTCAACTCACAGGATCAGCAAAGCGCGAGGCGCACATTATATAGATTGGTTTCTTTCTTTCAGCATTTGCATTTGGACTGCGCGCCGCGTCCTGATGTCCTGGCTGGATGCATTGCACAAATTGCAGCGATGAGGTGACCGATTTCGCACGCTATGACGAGGTGACCGGTTTCGCTCGAACAGCAGTATTGTTCGCATGAAAAGGTTCCCTGGTGGACAGGGCAAGCAAGCCTGACTAGGAGATGAAGACCGTCGTTGCGAGAAGTTGACGTAAGCGAATTTTCCGTAGAAGCCCCTGAGGAGCGAAGTAATGTGTCCGTTTTCGCCGACCTCAAACCCCCTCCCGCAATTCATGCGAAAATCAGTATGGGTGGTGTTTCGCATTGTATAATCTCATAATATTGTGCACATTCACCTCCCAAAAACAAAAATAACAAGCCTAAGTGGAACTAAAAGTGAGAAACATGAATAAGCATGCCACTAAAACAAGTGCTCGCTTTTTTTTGTGTGCTCCTTAGTTGTGTGTTTATAACACAATATTGCGGGTTTATGTATGTTTAGCACAGTCTCACTGTCAGTTTCACAAACAAAACAAACCCCAAAACGCATATACGGTATAGATACACCAGTATACATAACACAAAACCTACACAAATACCATAATATAAGACAAGCAAGCCCTTGACAGGTTGCGGAGAAGGCTTGAACGAAAACTTGGAATGTACATGCCATTACTGCCCTGCCTTTCTTGTAGTTGCACGCGAAACTCTTTTAAACAATCCAGCTCAACCCCTGCACGCACTGGAACTCTCCCTGCACCCACTGAAACTCCCCTGCACCCACTGGAACTCCCGTGCACCCACTGGAACTCCTCGTGCATCCACTGGAACTCCTCTGCACCCACTGGAACTCCCCGTGCACCCACTGGAACTCCCCGTGCACCCACTGGAACTCCCCGTGCACCCACTGGAACTCATCATCTCCCGCTGGAACTCCCCGTGCACCCACTGGAACTCATCAGCACCCGCTGGAACTCACCGTGCACCCACTGGAACTCATAAGCACCCGTTGGAACTCCCACAGAACCCACTGAAACTCCCCCTGCACCCACTGAAACTCCCCTGCACAGACTGGAACTCCCACTGCAGCCACCTCTGCAGGCCGCCCTACAGCTCAAGCCTGGCAGCGAGCACAAGTGAGGCGACCAAACTCCCAAGTGGACTTTCTATCCCTTCCTCTGCCTGCCTTTCTGTCCTAAACAGTAGCTATGTGCGAAGCAGAGCATGTTTGAGATATAAATCCCAGCTCAGGCTCCAGCAGTCACCACTGTAGCACCCACTGCCGCCATCCCTACAGCCCCCACCACTGCCTTTCTCTCCCTCACCACAAGCCTGAGTGGCTTCGCCAGAGCCATGGTCAGCCCAATTGTTTCCGTCATGTCCAGCCCCCCAGCTGCCCTAACATCTTCGGGCAGCTTGAAATCAAACCGCCGAACGAAATTTGCCAGCAGGCGGGCAGCGAAGTCCAATCCCATATTCATACCAAGGCATCCACGCCTGCCTGAACCAAAGGGCAGCAGGCTGAAGTTTTGTCCGGTCACGCCAGGGGCAGCAGGGTCAAGGAACCTGGAGGGGTCAAATTCGTGCGGGTTGATCCAGACCGTTGGATCGTGCGCGAGACCCCAGCCGTTGATCTGGATCATGGTGTTGGGAGGGATGTGGTAACCACCTAGAGTAACGCTGCCAGTTGTTATGTGGGGACCGAGGAACGGAGCGACCGGGTGATGCCTAAGTGATTCTTTTAAAACAGCCTGCAGATACGGCATTTCCAATAATGGAAGAGAGACCATGAGATCCGATCTTCCTGCTTCAGCTGCCCCAGTTTCGGCGGCTGCACTTGCTGACCTGGCATACGCGGCATCCACCTCAGCACGAAGCCTTTCCAGCATGTCAGGGTGCTGCGCCAGCTCAGCAAGCGTCCATTCCACGGTTTTGGCGGTGGTATCTGTTCCCGCCATCATCATATCAATCGCGAGCAGCAGCATCTCGTCTTTATCCACTTTATTCTCCCCTTCCCCTTCAATCTCGAACAAAGCATCTACTAGGGCCGAGTCCTCTGGCTTTTTGCGTCCCCCTGACCGCGTTTTCAGCAGGAGCTGGCGTCGCTCCGCGATGCACGCGCGCATCAACCCGTGCTGCTGCGGCACGAGGCGCTTCGTGCGCGCGTAGATGCGCTGCGGGTCCAAGTAGCTCAGCCACGGCACGAAATCCGCGATATTGAATGTCCCCGCAAGATCAAAGCCCTCCTCGATTATCGCAAGCGCTATATTTCCTTCCGCTTCTTCCAATGAAGACGATATACTAGTCTTAGCAGTACTAGTGCCACTATCCGCAATCTCTGTCTGAGAGGATCGTAGCTTGGAGCTATCTTGTTCTGCCGCTGCCGAAGCCTCAGACCCCGTGGCCGGAGATGCAGCCGCGTCGGCGACAGCGCCGCGTCGAATCTCACCGCCGCGTTTCTCGCCGCTCATTGCGGCAATGCGCGCGTTCCAGTCGATGCGCATCCCGGCTTCGAGAAGCGTGGTGCTCGCCGCCGCGCCGCGAATCGAGGAATAGCCGAAGCGCGTCCCGACAGTCACGCGCATAATGTTGTTGAGCGTCGCGCGATTTAAATACCTTCGCGCTTCTATGACCCCCTCTTCCGCCACGCCAGCAGATTTTGTCACATCCGAAGGACTAGTTGCTGCGCCAGCAGCGGCTTCGTTAGCGGTACTAGCCACGTCAGCAGCGATCGCATCGAGCATGTCGCGAACCTCCTCCTCTCGCACGGGAAGGCTCTCCTGCAGTTTCTTCGCAGACAGAAGGTGGAGCGTCGACAGCCGTCGCAACTTTCGCCAACGGTCATTAGGTGGCGAAAACACGATGTTTTTGCCGTCAAGTGAGAGAATAGCCAATGTTCGATTCATAGGGCGAGACGAGCAGAGCTTGTCATTCGTTTTAAGCACCTGGCGAGCGAGCTCCGGCGACGAGATGACCACTGACGGCGTTGAACCGTACCAGACGGTCAGGATCGGGCCGTACCTGTCGGCCAGCTTCGTGAAGGAGCGAAAAGGCAACAGTCCTAGGTCCGGGAGGTTGCCGAAGATGGGCCATGGGGAAGGGCCTGGAGGGAGGGAGCGGCGGCGGCGAAGAAAGGAGAGCCATGAAGTGGAAATGAGGACCGCGACAGCTGCGACAATGGCTGTGATGACGAAATGCGAATCAGCTAGTACTAAGCTTGAAGAGTCGAGGAGGCGTGAGGCAGAGCGGAAGACTCCGCTTGATGCCGTTAAATTCGAGGAAAAAAGCTGAGCGGTGTTGATCCCGCTGGCAAACCAGCCTGTCCCAGGAAGCGTGTCATCAGGAGCCATGGTGGGTGAAAAGAATCCCACCACGTACGGCCGTGCTGGAAACGCAAAAAGGGCGAAAGTGATTGAGCGAATCAGCACCTTCCTGCACAATCGAGGAAAGCGACTTGAAAAGAGGTCCGTGCAGGCAGGATAAATGTGGAACCCCAATCGAGGGCAGGCCGAACCGCGCGAAGAACAAATGTTGGGACATTGGGGACTGTGGCGCACATCATGCGGTTCGGTAGAGGTATAGGTACACCGTTTTCAACATGCTAGCGCCCCACGTTTGGAGAACTGGAAATGCGTGGACTCTGGAGATTCAAGATTGGACGATGCCAGATGGCAACGTGCAGCTATCAGGTGATCGTGTTCGCACGCAATGAATAGTTAACCGGATTCGCACGCAATGGCAGGGTCGTTCGCATGAATCGGTTTCCTGTTTGACAGGGGAAGCAACCCTGGATAGGCGAAAAACGAAGACCATCGTTTCTCGAGGATGAGGTGAGCGAAAACGTTGGTGTAAGTCCTACGTGACATCAACTTTCTGCACTGCAGTCATTGACACATCAGCAGCAAGTTTGAGTTGACACATTAGCGCCCAGCAAACTCTTTTAGATATCGCAAGTAAAAAGTGTGAGAAACAAGATGGATTATTCAGAGGAGACACAATTGAATTGAAATATATAATCACAAACTCACACCCAAGAGCATGTAAGAAACGCATACAAACACAAGGACAGGCGGTACCCAAAATAACTGAGCAAACTGATTACTTTCTGCGGTCTCCAGAACAACTCCTGCCTGTCAAAATGAGAAATGGATGATGCATTGATGTTGGTTGGGGTACATATAGCTAACCCTAAGTTTTGTACCTCCTAAGACAAACCTCACTATAGGCTACAACATTTGACACACCCCCATAGCCTAAGTGAGGGGTGTCTAGCAGAACCAAACGAGTACGGTCACAAGACCAGTCCAAGAAACGAAGCTCAGGGTGGATCACTGTCAAATGATATATATAGGTGATACATATTGGTAGGCTGTAGTGGGGTAGATGTTATAGGGGATAACCCCTTAGGGTTTTCCTACTTGTAAAATTTCTCTCGATAGTCAACTCACCTTGCCTAGCTATCTCAACATGGCATCTAGAGCAATGGTCCTAAGGACCTAAGATTGGGGCCCACCTACTCATGAGTTACTTTCCCTACAGCTATACCTACGTGCCTACCTTGCCTGCTGCCCGCGCGCGCCTCGGCTGCATGCGCGCGTGCATTTTCTTTTTTTTTAGCGCGCCCCGCTGCCTTAGCCGCCCGCGTGCTCGCTGCTGTCGCGCGCAGCTCGTCACCGCGCGCAGCCCGCCGCCACGCGCGACCCGCCGCCGCGTGCAGCCAGTAGCCACGCGCAGCCCGCAGCCACGCGCAGCCCGTCGCCGCGCGCAGCCCGCAGCCGCACGCAGCCCGTCGCCGCGCGCAGCCCGCAGCCGCACGCAGCCCGTCGCCGCGCACAGCCAGCTGCCACGCACAGCCCGCAGCCGCGCGCAGCCCGCTGCCGCGCGCAGCCCGCAGCAGCGCGTGCCCTGCCCTGCCTGTGCGCCACTGCCTCGACCTGAGCGCTTAGCCGCCCGTGAGTCGTGCGCTTACCTGCCTTACGCGCGGCCTGTCACAAAACTGCGTGCTTCCTTACCTGCTACAGTTGCCTGCTGCCTGAGCCTGCTGCCTGAACCTGCAGTCTTTGCCTGCTGCCTGAGCCTGCTGCCTGAGCCTGCTGCCTGAGCCTGCTGCCTGAGCCTGCTGCCTGAGCCTGCTACCTGAGCCTGCTGCCTGAGCCTGCTGCCTGAGCCTGCTACTTTTGCCTGCGCTACAACCATGGCGACCCTTACTGTTCTCGCCTTTGAGCCTGACGGCCGCCCCATCGAGTTTGACACCTGGCTTAGTGACCTGCGCCTTTACCTTATGACTGACGTCGCAGACGGAGTGTCCCTGCTAGCCTATGTGACCGGCACTGTCCCTACTCCTGCTGAGACTGCTCCTGCCCCTGAACGAGCACAGTGGGAGCTCCGCGATGCTGTCGCGCGCCTTGTTATTCGCAATCACCTACCGATCTCTGAGCGCGCGCATTTCAACCAGCTTAAGACTGCTAAGACGCTGTATGATGCTGTCGTTGCCCGCTATTCCGCCCCGACCACAGCCACCGTTGGTAGTCTCATCCTGCCTTACCTGTTCCCAGACTTAGCCTCGTTTCACACTGCTGCCGACCTTATCACTCACCTCCGCACTAGTGACGCCCGCTTTCGAGCCGCTCTTACCAAAGAGTTCCTCGCCACGAACACCCCCCCGCTGTACTTCACCCTCTACATCCTCGTCACCCGCCTCCCTGACACTCTTCGCTCTGTCAGGGATTACTTCCTTGCCAAGGATCCTCCAACTATCACTCTGGACGACTTCGAGCAGCAGCTGGTCGCAGCAGAGAAGAACATCCTCGCTGTCGGTGCTGCTCGTGGCACTCCCCGCACTCCCCTCTTTGAGGGGTGCTCCCCCTCCCCTCTTGACCCCTCCTACGCCTCTGCTGCTACTGCTGTTGACTTCCTCGGTGCGGAGAAGGTCGCAGCGGCTTCCGCTCCTGGTGGGAAGCGTGGTGGTGGCAGGGGCGGCAAGGGTGGCAGGGGTGGCGGAGGTGGCGGTGGAGGGAGCGGTGGTGGAGGCGGCGGGGGTGGTGGAGGTGGTGGGGGTGGCCGTGGGGGTGGAGGCGGTGGGTGGGGTGGCGGCAGGACCGGGAGCGGTGGAGGCGGCGGCGGCGGTGGTGGGGGAGGAGGCAGCGGCAGTGGCGGTGGAGGTGGGAGTGGGGGTGGATCTGGCCAGAAGGGTGGCCAGCAGCAGCAGCAGCAGCAACAGCCACAGCAGCAGCAGCAGCTTCCTCCCCTCACCTCCCAGCAGCTCAATGACTGGTATGCTGGGCGTGGGGCGTCTCGGGGTTCTGACCGCTGCCCCTATGTCATTCGTACTGGCCCCCGCAAGGGTCGCCCCTGCAACGGTTTTCACACTGAGTATCGTTGTTTTGCTAGGCTTAGTGACGCCTGGCGTACTAAGTATCCTGATGCTACTGAGTTCCCCAACTGGGCAGAGCTGCTTAGGCGTGATGTGCCTATCTTTGATCTGGACTATGATGTTATTCTTGCTGCCATGTATGCATTGACTATTAGTGCTGAGGGTGACTGCTACTTGTGTGTGCCGCCTGACCCCGGTATAAGGACTGCAGCCCTAGGTGCTAGTGAGTCTGCTCCCCTTGGTACTGAGTCGACTCAGGCCTTGCACACGTTTACACTTGACTCTGGTGCTTCCCGCTGTTTCTTTCGTGATAGCACCACCGTCACTCCGCTCCCTGCACCTGTCCCTGTCTCCCTGGCTGACCCCTCTGGGGGCCCAGTGCTTGCACGCGGCACGACTGTGCTCCCGTGCCCGGCGGTCCCGTCTGGTGAGCTGTCAGGTCTCCTCGTTCCCTCGTTCTCTACGAACCTGGTGAGCAACGCCGTCCTCCAGGATCACTGGGTTGACACCTGGACTCCTGGAGGGCAGCGTGTGGCGATCTGTACGTGCTCCAAGACTGGCCGCCACCTGGCCACGTTCACTCGTGAGCCGGGGTCCAGTCTGTACACCCTCACCACTGTTTCACGCTCCGCTCCTTTGTCTCCACAGCTGTACGCGTCTGCTCAGGTAGCTACCCAGTGTGAGTGCCGCCGCCTGTCGCACGACACGCTCCTGTGGCACCACCGCCTTGGTCACCCCTCCCTGCCTCGCCTTCGTAGCATGCACTCTCGCTCTCTGGTCTCTGGGCTTCCCAGGTCTCTGCCTGCCCTCCCTCCCTCGCCTGCGCCGCCCTGCATTCCCTGCGTCGAGGGGCGGCAGCGCGCCGCTCCTCACTCCTCCTCGTTTCCTCCCACAGAGGCTCCCCTGCAGACGCTTCACCTGGACGTGTGGGGCCCAGCCCGCGTCCAGGGACAGGGCCGTGAGCGGTACTTTCTGCTGGTTGTCGACGACTTCACGCGTTACACCACGGTCTTCCCCTTGCGCAGCAAGGGAGACGTCCCTGCTGTTTTGATCCCCTGGATCCGCGCTGTGCGTCTCCAGCTCCGCGAGCGGTTCGAGCGGGACTTTCCTGTCCTGCGTCTGCACTCTGACAGAGGTGGTGAGTTCTCCTCTGACCTCTTGGCAGCCTTCTGTGCGGAGCACGGCATCACCCAGTCGTTCACGCTTCCGGCCTCTCCGCAGCAGAATGGGGTTGCTGAGCGCCGCATTGGCTTAGTCATGGAGGTCGCTCGTACCTCCATGATCCATGCGGCGGCTCCCCATTTTCTGTGGCCGTTCGCGGTCCGGTACGCCGCGCATCAGCTCAACCTCTGGCCCCGTGTCTCCTTGCCGGAGACCTCGCCCACACTGCTGTGGACGGGGGAGGTTGGCGATGCGTCGCGTTTCCGGGTCTGGGGTGCTCGTGCCTTTGTCCGCGATCTCACCGCGGACAAGCTCTCTGCTCGTGCCATTCCCTGCGTCTTCCTTGGTTTTCCTCCTGACGCGCCTGGCTGGCAGTTTTACGACCCCACCTCGCGCCGTGTCTTTGCGTCTCAGGACGTCACCTTTGACGAGTCTGTTCCCTTCTACCGTCTCTTTCCCTACCGCACTGTCTCTCGCCCCCCCCCGCCGCTCTTTCTCGCTCCAGGTCCTCCCCAGGTAGACCCCCTCCCCGCGCCAGGTCCTGCTCCTTCAGGTGTTTCTCAGGTAGACCCTCCGGTACCTGCGCCTGTTGAGGTCACTGGTGACTCAGGTCCTGCTGGAGGTGGTCCTGCTCGGGGTGCTGTCTCTGGGGGTGCTGAGCCTGGGGGTGCGGAGTCTGGGGATGCCGTGCCTGTGCGTGAGGAGCCTGGCGGTGCTGAGCTTGGGGGTGTCGAGTCTGAGGGTGCTGTGCCTGCGCGTGAGGAGCCTGGAGGTGCTGAGCTTGCGGGTGCCGAGTCTGCGAGTACTGAGCCTACG